GGTCGCCGGGAATGATGTCGTCGTGGTTACATTCAAGTCAGTGATCATCCCCCCCGTCCTATCGTGCCAGACTAACCGGGCAGTTACCGATTGAACATCTTTGGTTTCTCCGGAGCCCCTGGCCTCACGCAGAACGTGGGTCTTCTGGACCAGCGCATGGCTATTGAATGGGTCCACCGCAACATCGCCGGGTTCGGAGGTGACCCTGACCGCATCACCATCTTCGGACAGTCCGCCGGAGGCGCGTCGGTCGACTACTACTCGTACATCTGGACGGAGAAGCCGCTCGTCCGCGGCCTTATCTCGCACTCGGGCACCGCACTCAGCTTCAAGCCCAACACCGCCGAGGAATCCGCCAGTTACTTCTACCACGTCTCAAACACTCTAGGCTGCGGCAACCGCACTCATCCCGTTGACTCGGTAGTAGAATGTCTGCGCAAGCAGTCGGTGCAAGCAATCCTCGGTGCCGTGAGGAAAGTCCCCTTCGCCCCATCCCCGGCCCTTCCTCAACCCCAATTCCATCCTACCGTGGACGGCATCACGGTCTTTGACAACTATGCCGAACGCTCCGCGCAGGGCAAGTTCATCAAAGCGGTAACTGCCCAGATCTGAGCCCCTAACGTGAGCAATGCCCACTAACGAAGACCAGCCATACCTCTTCACAAGCAATGACAACGAAGCAGGCTACTACCGCATCAACGCCTTTGCTGGGAGGATCTCGCTCACAGACGAGCAATGGCACCAGTTCAACCTGGCCGCGTTCACCTGCCCGACGGCCCAAGCGGTGGCTGATCGTGCGGCACACGGCGTCCCTACCTGGCACGGGCGGTACTTTGGCGACTTTTGGAATCTGAGACTGTATCCCACCAGTGGGGCTTATCACGGAGTCGATCTGCATATGGTCTTTGGGACGGCAGAGAATGTCACCGGTATTCCTGATTCTGAGTTGGAGGAGCGGTCGAATAGGTACATGTCTTCTGCTTGGGTGCGGTTTGCGACGGATCCTGAGCGGGGGTTGAATAGCCTTGGATGGCCGAGATATCATCCTAGCAGTAAGTGAATGATTTGTCAGAGATGAGATGGGACGTTAATGTCAAGCAGAGAATACACTGATCGGGCTTGCATTTAAGAATGAGACGCGCGCGCAGCTGTTGGACCAGGCTGTATATCAGGAGGGCTGTGCTGCGCTGAACGGGGACACCACTCCAGGAAAGGGAGCTTTCTAGGTGTCTGGTGCATATATCGGTTCAGGTAAATGGCTTCAGCGCCGCATAGTGTTTTCATGATTATTCATGACTATTCATGTCCATACGAAGACTCCTAGAGCAAATTCACAGATATTTTTTCGAATATCTCATACTGCATTCTCCTCGTATGCGTTGCTTTGCACGATTGACGGTAATCCAAAGCATCCATAGGCGTTCCATGCTGGTATCGTTGTTACGTTGCATCAAAACACAATAGAAGTGAGAAATCAGAGAAAAAGACTGCTTGCGCGTCGGCAATCCTGACAGCTCCTGAGATCCTACGGATGCAGTTTACATCCTACACAAGGTTCCGGCGGCATCTCACTATAAAGGATGTCCGGACGAGGAGCCCCCGCCACATTCAAATACCCAACTGCCCCCTTATCCATCCGGAATATCGCATGGTCGACGAGCGTATACGTCCCCGGGACAATCATCTTCAGATCGACAATTGCCGCACCGCCCGGCGGCACACCCACAGTCGACAACAACCTAGCCGGCGGATCAACCACCCCTCCATCCCGAAAGACGTGCTGAAAATGGCTCCCGATAACGTGGAACGAACTCGTCAGATTGGGCCCGGCATTCCCGAAGAAGATCCGTACCGACTCCCCCGTCTTTGCCTTGAGTGGCCGGTCCCGCGTCAGAGCCGACTCGCTCCCGTTGAAGACTACCGCGGAGGGCTCCTCGCGCAGCCCCGCAGGGTAGGAGAACTCGACTGTAGACGAGGGCCGGCCATCATCTTCAATCTCCGGCGGTTCGTGGTAGAACTCGCTCTGCATGACGTAGTACTCCCTATCCACCGGGGAGAGGGCATCGCCGTCTTCGGGCTGCACGTAGATCAGCCCGTACATCCCGTTGGCGATATGCACGGGGACCGGGGCCGCGGCGCAGTGGTAGACGAACAAACCCGGAACCAGAAGCTTGAACCGCGCGGTTTTGGTCTCGTGCTCCTCCGCGGTGGTGACGGCTGCGCCGCCGCCGGGGCCGGTGAAGGCGTGGCAGTCGATGTTGTGCGGGTTGCCGGTGCGGTCGTGGTTGGACAGGGAGAGCTCGACCACGTCGCCTACGCGTGCGCGGATGAACGGTCCGGGGACGCTGTCGTTGAAGGTCCATGTGTCGTACTTGTATTGACTGGTTAGTTGGCGCGTTTTGGTGCTCGTCGTCAATGGGACGTGGAGAAGAACTGGGTGTGTGCGGGTGATGGGGGGAGGGACGTTAGGTGCAGTGGTCAGGATGGCGTCCTCTTTGGGTAGGTCAATGTCATCTTGAGGTTCCTCGCGAGTTGCGTAGGCTCGTTGAAGGGATGTGTCTGTTTCGAGTAGGATGGGACACTTGTGGACTGACAAGAACAGGCACGCTCCGATGATAGGGCCAGCCAACCACGGCCAGACTTGTAGGCGCTCCTTTCGCCTCTCCGATGTTGTCTTTGCTGTCGTCCAAGTCGACAGTGAATTTCTCAGGGCTGGACTACGCGTAGGTATCGACATCCATTCCCATGGAGGACCCCTTCTCAGCCACTGTCTCCCAAACAATAGGCATTTGGACATTCTGAAATTCCGACATCAAAATGCTCTCTAGAGTCTAGAATATTGGGGTTCAATCGTGTTGGCCGTGGACATTTATAAGTAGTCGGGGGGTGATGTCATGAGTTCATTTCCGGCGATTGTAAAGTTGAGCAACTCCGCGGATGTATAACCTCTGCAATACTTGAGCTGTGTATCCCATGCGATTCGTCACCTTCTTCTCGGTACTCAGTAGTTCTGCGTGCTGTGTTCCAGCTCTGCAATCCGCTTAGCCAAGGAGAGTGGCATCAGGATCATGTCAACCTCGCATCTCGCCATATTCACTGCCTTTCCTCCAGTTATGCTCAGAGCAATGTCTCCACGAGGAAGCCACTTTCGCGTTCTCTGGAGACTCGAAGAGGAGAGTCGGCTGGCATCGTAGCTGGAGCCCATGTACTTTATCCCCCTTCGACCTCTTTCTTGAGGACAGACAAGTGTACCTCCTTTTGAATATAGTTGAAAATCCCCCAGGCGGGGAGAGGCCAAGAGTCCAGTGACAGATCTGTCCGCGGCATGGTAGGTGCATGAGAGGTTGAGATGTGTATATCGCCCGCAGAGTCGATAGTAAATAGTGGAAGATGGAATATTGTCACAACGATCATCGTTCAGTTTTGTCTATTTTTCCTCGGGGGCACTTGTACCGAGAAGAGGACAAGGATTGGACCTCGGCTGCCGAAGCGGGGTGACCAGTGGCCCTTGTTGATATGTCGATCATTCTTCAAGAAACTGGACCGGAGAGACGAGATACTTTCTGCACAACTGAATCATCCCATTCATCTGTTATCTGTAACCGGTATGGAACAACGCTAGACGCCGAAATCGCCAGGCCGACTGAAAGTCTCGCGGGCCGAGTAGCCATCGTAACTCGCGCAGGCGCAGCAGGCGAGGGGATGGGCAATGGGCGTGCAGCAGCGGCTCACCTCGATGAAGACGGTTGTTCAATTATATGTGCAATGGAGCAGCAATGGAGCAGCAATGGAAGATCTATTTCAGTAGTATTCTATATTCAAAGATGCCATGAGAAACGCCTATCGGCATCTGTTGTCGGCATTCGGTTATCATCTCCGTTCTGTTTAATGTAACCCCGCCATCCATCCCCTCAAATATCGAATCCCTCACATTGATCTTCGAGGATCGCACAGACACGAAGATGGCAGACTACTCGGAATACAGCATACCTACGGAAGAATGGATTGCTCTGGAGAACACACTTCCGCCACCGGCCACGAACTTGGACGTCCATGCTATGAAAGACATGTTCAACCGAGCTCGGGAGGAGAGGGCGGCTAACGCCATGGTCAATGAAGGTAGGTTAGGCTACAATATAGAAATGCATCTACTGACACTATCAGGACTACAATCGCAAGTCTCAATGCAAGACTACTCTATCCCAGCACGGGATGGCTTTCCGTTAGAAGCACGCAGCTACCGTCCTGTCGGCCTGCCGTCCTCTCAGCGCCTCCCGGTCTACCTCCATCTACACGGCGGGGGTTTTGCGTTTGGTACTCTGGCCTCGGAAGACGCGATTTGTTCCCGGATCATCGCTACGTTGGCCAAGGAAAATACTCCGGTCGTGGTAGTGAATGTCAACTACCGTCACACCCCCGAGTACAAGTACCCCGTCGCCTGGAACGACGCCGCAGACGCCTTCCACTGGATTCACGACCATCTGACGGAACTGGGTGGGGATGGCGACAACATCGTCGTCGGAGGCATCTCCGCCGGCGCATGGATGACTGCTTCCCTGACGCTGGCGCAGCACCTGGGCACAGACGAGCAATTGGTCAAGCGACCCAAGATCAAAGGACAGGTGCTCATGATCCCAGCATTAGTGGGGCCCGGCTGCTACGCGCCGCAGCTGAAATACCTCCAGGATCCCAAATTGTCCAGTTACGTGGACAGCGAGCATGCGCCGATTCTCCCGGTGACACGGATCAACTTCTTCATGGGCCTGCTGGAGGCCAAGGGTGACGAGAAGGACCTGATGCTTAATCCGGGAAATGCCAGTGCGGAACAGGTCCGGGGATTGCCTCCTACGACGTTCGGGATCGCGGGACGGGATCCCCTCCGGGATGAAGGGCTGTTTTTCGCCAAGTTGTTAACGGATAATGGGTGAGTTGAGAGTCCAGCAGTTATTGTGGGCAAGCAGACTAACTGCAGCAGGGTTCCTACCAACGTTCATGTCTTTCCTGGTTTACCGCACGGCTTCCGAGTGCATGCGACATTGTCTGAGTGTAAGCGATGGGATTCGGTCACGGCGCATGGAGTACAATGGGCATTGAGCAAGCCGGCTGGTACGCGGGTGTTTGAAATTAAAACAAAGTAGTAAACCTAGGTTGACTCGTCCAAATAGTGGACATAGGTATATACATGATCAGTAGATGCAGTTACCCTTGGGCGCTCTCTGCATGTTTCTTGAGGTAGGTCTCGAGCAGCCCCGGATTGGCGCCGACCACCTTATCCACGTAGTCGCCCGCTCGAAAGAGATAGAAACTGGGCATGGACGACACTCCCAACTCCTGTGCCACATCGGGGACTTTGTCGACGTTGACCTTGAAGAATTTGATATTGGCATACTGATTGCTGAACAGCTCCACCTTGGGAGCGATGGCCTTGCACGGGCCACACCAATCTGCGTAGGCATCCACCAGCACCAGCATGTTGTCTGCAACGGCAGACCGGAATGCTTGTAGACTATGATGCTGTTAACATGGGACTATTTTAGTGGATAGTAGGTAACATACCTGCTTAGTTCTTCGACGCCCATTGTATCTAATATCTGGTACGGATTATGCAGTAGAAGAGTAGAGAGAGTAAGGGTAGTTGAGGGAAAGAGATAATTATCATCAAGACAGGAACTTGTTGTTACCCAAGGCATGACATCACAACTACAAGGCATTGACTAAAATAAGTCGTCGATATTAGTAAGCATGCATTTGCTATGCACAAACACATTACGTCTCAATTTGCAAATTTATGCATATGGTATGGACACAATGAGGAAATTTTCATTCTCCTATCCACTGCCAAGTCATAACATCATCATCATAGTCCACGAGCCTATGGAGCAGTGCAGGAACCACTCTTGCAAGACAAGTCGTCCGCGCAATCATCGTCGCTCGAGCAGGAAGCACCTGCAACGGTCAGTATAGAAACAAAGAGGGCACAAGAAGAGATCAGCTATACATACCCTCGCAGTGACCTTCCCAGGAGCAGGTCGCCGCCCCATCCACCGAGCATTTACCAGCCGTACAGACGAGAGCATCGGCGCAGTCGTCGCTGCTGGAGCAAGATGCACCCAAGCAGTGGCCTGCCCAGGAGCATGAAGCCGTAGAGGTCGGTTTGGTCGTCGTCGTTGTGACCAGAGTGGTGGTCTTGGTCGGCGGAGTTCCCGAAAGACCCAGGTTGGACGCCAGCGCGTTGACGAGCTTGTCGCCCATGCTGCGCAGGGTGGTAAAGTTGGTGATGTAGTTTTTGGTCAAGGCACTGCTGGGGAGCACTGCATCCTTGCCGGTGAAGACGATGTCTGCTCGCATTAGTATCAGAAGAGCAAGGGGCTTAAAAAGAACATACAGGTTACGTCGACACCGGTGTGACCCTTGTTGCCATTCAGGCCCTCGTTGGGGAAACACGTCCGGGCCATCAACCAGGACGCCTCGCCGGTTACCTGCGGGCTGTCACCGTTGGAGTCACCGAGGATACCATAGAACATTTTGCCGTTGCTAACAAGTGTCAGTAGTCTGCTCATGAACGGATAATGACGCGACGAACCAGATCACAGCAGCAATGTTATTGCCAGGAAGAGCGCCGGTATTAGCCGACAGGTACTTGTCCGGAATAACAATAAAAGGCACTTCATACGCAGACAGAGCACCCCAGTTGGTCTGAGGTTGTCCATCCGGATTTCCCTATTTCGGTAAGCGACGAGTGGTCAATACGACAGTCCGAACCCACCTGACATCCAGAATTGAGCCCATCGCAATCGACATCCATGTCGGCTATCCAGGAGATGGAGGCGCCGTCACCGAATGACGCCCAGTCGGTGTGAATGGTCGACTTGGCCGCACCACTGTCCTGACCGACCGGGTACGTGGCCAGGCTGGGGACCTTGCTGGCTTTGGCGGCCGCTGCTTGAAGGGCTGCCACGGGCATGGTCGACGCGGCAGCGAAGAAGCTGGCCGGAGGTCCTCCATCGGGCTTGTTGTAGTCGGCGCCGTTGACGACCTGGCCCAAGGCAGAGTTGCACAGGGCCAGTGAGATGGCCAGTTGGCTGATGATGGTTTTGGACGGCATGGTGGTGAGGGTTTGGGTTCTCAAATGTCCTGGGGAAGCCTGTCTGCTGACATGGCAAAAGAATGAGGTATATGGTGCCTTTTATATTATATCCAGAGGTCAGAGCTGCTATTGTAGCCAGAACAGCAGAGTGTTGTTGCTGCAGTTCGTATCCAGCCAGCTGAAACATGGCTGAAGCGGATCCAGCCGCTGATTGGGGATCAGATGTTTCATTTGACAATTGATGCCAATGCGTCCCTGGAAAAACTCCTTTTCGGCTTTGGTCAGCGTAGCATTCCCCTTTTCCGCCCCATTCCGATATTCAATGGACGGCGAATCCGGACTTGTGTCGCCAATTCGCCGGTAGTCGCACATGGCATGACTTCCTGAAGAATTCTTATTGGAAACAGTCATTCATCTGCTCCTACCGTACTCCTCTGATCTGCCGGGAAAAAGCTTGTTTGTCAATATATCGTCAAGCTGCCTCTTAAGCGGCATATATACCGGAGTAGTGGTACTAGGAATATATATCTCCACTCGACAGCCAGAACTACGAGGGATAGAGGCAACACATCTGTTCCCAAAAAAGAGAGCAGTACTCCATAGCAGATTTCCCATATACAATTCCCCCGAGAAATCAATTTCTTTAGTAATGCTGGCATAATGGCTTAGTCTTGATCATGCAGCTGTTGCACATCATGTGTCAGCCATCTGATCCCGTGACAGCGCCTGGCACGTGCCTTGGATGCCTTGGATGCCTCGGGATCTTCCTCGGGTTGAGCAGCTGAGGAGGAGCTGAGATACGCCAGATCAGCTTTGATTTACTTCTGATCAAAGTGGTTCATCGCATTGTCCATCAGAAACACATCAAATCTGCAAGATGTCCGACGTCATCATCACCGAAAGCCAGTTCAAACTCCCTGATGGGCTACAGGTCTACCACAAAACATGGGCTGTCCGTTTGTCCCCTCTCTGCCATTGCCCGTGCCTGGCACTAAACTGATCTGTGTCTCAGCCGACCACCCCCCGGTCGCAAAACTGATCCATTTTCATGGCTTTAGTGACCACATCAACAACACGTATGATCTATTTCCATCTTTAGCCCGCCGTGGGATTTTCTGCACGGGAATCGACCAGCGTGGTTGGGGTCGGTCGGCCCAGACAAAAGCCGACCGTGGAAACACTGGCCCGACCGCCGCCGTCCTGGCGGACATGGCAGCATTCATCGAGGCTCAGTTCGAGGTTCCGCCAGATGTCCCGGTCTTTGTGATGGGACACTCCATGGGCGGAGCCCTAGTCGCCACCCTGGCCTCGACCCCCAAATATCAGGAGCTCGTCTCCCGACTCCGGGGGATCATGCTCGAGGCCCCCTTCATCGGGCTCGACCCGAAACAGAAACCCAGTATCATTACCGTGTTCCTGGGTCGGCTGGCCGGAAGGCTCCTACCGCGGTTCCAACTCGTCCAACCCATGAAGGTCGAGACGATTGTGCGCGATCCCGTCGTGCAGAAGACGATCAAGGAGGATCCCCTCAACCACACCACCGGCACGCTGGAGATGTTCGCCAATATGCTCGACCGGGCGGCTGATCTGACCTCGGGCAAATTGGTGCTCAATGATGGCATCAAGTCCGTGTATGTGGCACATGGAACGGCAGACCAGGTTACCAGTTACGATGCCAGCACGCACTGGTTCGACGCGCAGACTGGCAAGGTCGCCGACCGTCAGTTCAAGTCCTACGAGGGATGGAGTCATCTGCTCCATGCGGACCTGCCGGAGAACCGACAGGTGTTTGCCGATGATATTGCTGAGTGGATTCTAGCGAGAGTGTAGTTGAATACCCCGTCGACATTCTGCGCTTTTGATATTGTTGCAATATATATATGAGGAGCTTCTTCACTGTGTTGAGCCAGCCGTGGCCATTCGTCACACACTATATATACCTCTCGATAGAGAATACATATTTATTCCTGCGAATCGCTGTCTATCCCGCGAGTCTCTCTTTCGACCTTTCTATCCCCCAGAGACGCTCCAATCTCCTTGATCACAAGCCATGCAGGTAGCAGTGCGATGGCCCACAACCCAAAATTCAAGTAGGTGCTGCCAACCGAGCTCATGATCTTGACACTGTCCAGACCATACTACAAAGGATTAGCAATAGTATCTCACCCGTCAGACGAAGTGGCATACCGATACAGCCTGCGAGGCCGACTCTGTCCCACGCAGGAGACTCGCCATCCGGACAACCTCTTCTTCATCCGACGCCAGATTGCCGACGACAAAGAAACTACCTTGTTAGCACGGATCCAAGGAACAGAGGACAGGACACACGTACAGATACATGTAATTGAGCTGAAACCCCGCAACCCAGAACAAATACAGTGCAAAGCCTCGTCCAAACCCAGCATCCGTCCAATCATACGTCGGCAGCGTGCGATGGTACTCGGTCACGATAACGGTGGCCCAAACCCACCATGCACCCTGCAGACCAAGCACAACGAAAAAGGCTCCCCGGCTTCGCGACCGCAGCGACAGCTTCTGATTGTCGAGAAACGCCCCGAGCAGATTGCCCACGATCAAGGCGATGATTCCGGACAGGAACGACCCGAGGGCACGAGACCGCACGGAGAACCACAGCGATAGAAACGTGAACATAACAGCCTCACTGAAGACCGCTTGCACGATGAGTGGGACAATTAACAGGAAGTCTCGCCGGATGAACAGCTTTGCCATGGCCTTGAGCTCGTACAGCGGACTATGCGAGATGCGCAGTCGGACGGGAAGACCATCCGTTCGCTGCACCTGTGCCGGCTTATTCAGAAGCAGTCCCGCGAACGGACCAAGAGCCTGCAACGCGATAAACACCAAGTAGACCGAGTACGACACACTCCCAGCCGTCGATCGGCTCGCGTTGATGCCCAGGTTGATCGCGCCGCCCAGGATCTGGCCACCCACGCGGAAACTAAGCCAGAAACCCAGGAACCGGCCTTGATTATGTGGCTCCGGATACGACAGCGCAATTGCCCCCTCCGCCATCCAGAATAGCCCTGCCGACAGACCGCACAGTGCCGCGCCGAGCAGGACGAACCATTCCGTCCCGAAGCGGTTGTTCGTATACAGCCCTGCAGCGTACGGGGCGTACCCCATCGTCCCGATCACGAGGGTCCATTTGATGCCGACGATTCGCACGACCGCGCTGCCGAAGAAGCAGGTCACCACCATCAGACAGAAGGTTAGTGCGTTGGCGGCGTTGACGAGGTAGGGCTTCTCTGCACCTCCGGCGCCGAGCGAATTCATGGCGCCCCAGATGCCGGGGGCGAGGAAGTTGCAGATACCCAGGATGAGAGCATTGTAGAAGGTTGAGCGGTACCATTTGACTGTTTTTGTTAGAGACAGCAAGCTACTGGAGGGGTGACTTACCGGGATGCTTCTTGGGTTCTGGCGATGGGCTGCGAGCAACCTCTTCGTCTGTGGGAGTGATGTCTTTCTCAAGTGCGGTCATGTTGACGCTGGTAGAGCTTCAGACCATGTATGATCTTGTCTGTATGCGATGTGCACTGCTTTATATGTCTAGCATGCGATGGCGATATCGCAGATCATCAATGCAGAATATGTCCCTGCAGCTAGCCAACCATGTAGAGCATTATTTAGGCAATCTACACGGAAGCTTAAACTAACAGATATCAGTGGCGTCGATATGGCCAAATCCTTGACCTAAGAGCTCGAAGTAATGTTGTCTTTGGCGAGGCGGATTACGTGCTCGCACGGCATTTTAGCAGGGATGATCAACATGAGGGGAGGGCACTCCCAGTTAGAATTAGAATTGTTCTATCCTATCTTATGACTGAATCCTTCGACTGAATCCTTCAAGTGAAAATTACGAAGCTTGGTTTGGCTCCCTGCTTCGCAGAACGGTGCATGCCTGAGGGTGGCTGCACGCACCCTGGCCCAGGCCGAGTTCACTTGAGTTTGTCCAATTATACTTACGCTTCAAGCTCTAGAACAGTACAGTCTGATTAATCACATTTCTTATAAGTCACACAAACGAACAGATAACTACAGTATGAATCTCCTTGCTAAAGGACCAGACCAGATTAAGACAGCTACTCACGATCCTCCGGATGGAACACCAACGCCCTCACCTCGATACTCTCCCTCGACGCCTCACTCTCCGTCGCCGGATCCACAAACGCAGAATGAGGCACCCTTCTCGCGCGCCCATCCGTCTTGGAATCAAAGCACTTGATCAGCGTCACCAGCTCCGGAGGCTGCGCATACCGGAAGTACCACTTAAACCCTGGATTCGGTCGCACCCCGTACGTCTCGCCCACCCGGTTCGGATAGATGAGTTTCGTCGGGACGAGGTCATCGTCCGGGACGGAGTGCGCGTCGGCGACGGCCAGCGGGTCCTTGAGGATGGTTCGGATCGGCCGCCAGACGTTGATGATCTGGTATCGGCCCTTGAGGAGTTCCGGGGCTTCGTCGGGGAGGTGGTAGGAGACGCGGTCTTTGCTTGCGGAGTAGGACTGGTCAATGTGGACGCGCTGGACGGGACCGCGGAGTTGGGCGGCGAGACTGCGTTCGTCTTTCGGTTTGCGGCGGATCGTATGGTCGAAGATGAAGATTTTGGATGCGCCGGTGCTGGTCGTTCTGTCAGTAAATTCCGTTGACGATGGGTTTTTTATGTACATACGCATCTTTGAGCAGCTGCTCTACCTCGGGGTAGTACTCGGCTTTGATCTTCTCGTCGTCGACAAAGTCCTTCTCCTTGCTTTCGTGGTAGTAGAACTGGAATCCGTTCTTGTCCAGCGTGTACTCCAGCTCGTGGCCGCTGACGTCGTGAATGGTAACGGGCAGGGTCACTGCAGGCCGGTCGTAGGTCTCTGGCTTACCGACGTAAGTCGGGGCTGGAGGAGAGCCATCCTCGTTCTCTTTCAGGAAATTAAGAGTGGTCTGCACATGATGCGGTGCATTTGCAGTCGGAAGGAGAGACTTTCTTTGAGCGTGAGGCTCATGGGTAGTTGGGAGGAGTTGAACAGCTGCCGATGCCATCTCGATGTCTTTCGCTCGTGATTTTGAGTCTGAATTTGATCGATAGTGATGGTATCAATCGGCCATTCTGTTCAACTGGTCTTATATCACGAAGTTCTCTTGCGGGGTAGGCATTTGTCAGATCAGCACGTCATGGCTGCGCGTCGAGCATCATCTTAGAAATCATCAGATGATGAGAAATAGGAAATACGATGATTGGCGCTGACAGAAGCCTGTAATCGATGTGTTGCCCTTCAGGATGCTGTACATCATCAAAACAACATGTGATGCTCGTAAATGGCAAATTAAAGCCTACGGATGCATTTATAATGTAGCCAGTGCATTTATAATCCGCCATCGTATGCCAGAACGCCAAGCTCCTACTGTCGTACATCGACCAGATTGTGTTTGTCATTCTGAATATAGGCAGGGATCATTTGTGTTCATAGAATGAACTGGATGTCGTCAAACTATAGAAGAAAGAGTTATAGCTAGCACTGGTACTAGTCTAATATGTAGTGACACTTGCGAGAATGTTGCAGGATCATTTATACCATTGATAAAAGCTATAGAATATATGACGGCACAAGCTTCGTAATACTGGTCCCATCATCCAGCACATCCTCCTCCTCTTCCAGTCTGTATCCCCCCATCGTGGAAGTAGAACGGTCCAAACATACCAATAAATCACTCCGAAGAGTAGACTATATCCGTCAGCCAATTCGTTGAATAACATGTTAGAAACTTACATTCCGACTCCCACGACTGCATATGTTGCGTAGAAAAAGTCCACATCGCCCTTTCTGTCCGGAGGAGGTATAAACGGTGCTGCCAGTAAAGCAAGACAGACGATGATTCGGAGCCAGACCGCAGGAAGCCATGCTTTGAATGGTCGTGGGAGATTAGGTTGACGTCGTCTCAAGATCAGCAAGCCGACTGCAATAGCCAAGGCGAAGATCTGGCCCGGATAGCCCTCGACGTCTAGAATGAAACTGTACACGTCTCCTGGAGGGGGAAGTACAATCACCAAGAGGGAAGGGATATAATGCACAATTAAGCCTCCCAAAGGAGAGTTGAACGGGCGAGATGATGAGAGCATGGTCGAGAAAGGGAGAAAGCCCTGTCGAGCAATCTCTTGATTCACCCGTGCCTGTCACCGTCATCTACTGTAGTCTCGAGTCATCGAGTCAACTTACCCAGGCAAATGTGACTACCATGACATTTCCTGCGGCGGAAATGGCAATCGCCAGAGGAAACAAGGTCCTGCCAACATGCGGACCGAAAACGCGTTCGAAAAGGAGAGCCCCAACGAGTTCACCACTGTTCTTGATGTCCTCAATTGGGACGACGAGGAAGTAGGAGATGTTTGCCAGCAGGTAAAGACAACAAGCAGTGACGAGAGCGGACGGACAAACCGATTTGACCGTCCGGATCGGGTCCTGAACCTCATTCAGGACATTGTTCACATTATTCAGCCCAGCATACGAGTAAAACACTTTGAAAAGAGAAGTCGAAAGCAAGCTCCAGCTCCAATTTGAACCTTCCCACAGATTGTCCCAGAGAAACACGTCGTACCCTGTCCTATGCGCATCATTCGACACGGACATGGAGTGTTCCTCACGCCGAAAGAGCATCACCCAGAGCCCGGTCAGTGTCATTGCGGCGATCATAAAGATCTTCATCCATCCTAGCAGGTTCTGTATCCATATGCCGGTCTTGAGAAAGCACCCATGGACAATTGTAATCGCAGTCATAAGACCCGCGGCCAGGGCCTTTTGCTGGTACTCCGTTGGCTCAGCGCTCAGAGCGAACAGGGTGTACTTGGAGAATATAATGCAGTTACTCGCGGTAAAACCTAACAAAACCGCCTGAACGGCGATCAACGTTGACGCCAGGAAGCGAGGACGCCGATACGTATACTCGAGATAGACCTTGTCGCCGCCAGATCGAGGGAGCATACAACCAAACTCCATCGACACAGCCAGGCCGCATGCTGCGAGAACTGTCCCCACAAGCCATACCAGCAGCGCCAACCCAACGCTTCCCACAGATTTCACGATTGACCCAGGGGTTGCGAAGATGCCGCTGCCGATGACGCGCGATATCACCAGGATATAGGCGCTCGTCCATGTGAGGTTACGGCCGTAGGGGGCTGTCTCCGGGATTGTGCTGCGACTAGACACAGGACGCCCATTTGTCCTGATGTCCTGGATAGACTCGTAGGAAAGAGTTTCATACAGAGCGGATGTGGGGTATAAGAGTGGTTGATTTTCAGAATCATCCATTTTGTATACTTTAGCAGCAGTGTGGGATTTCATCATATCGATCTCATGCAAACCATTTCCTTTGGTTAGTCTACCTGAGCTACATATACGCGTTACTGTGTAACATTATTCTAGGCACGCCATTGTTGGCCGCGGTTGTGTACAGCTCAAGTATTAATAATGCTGATCTGACCGTGGCATCCCTGCAAATGCAACCATAACCATAGACTCTTCTTGTTGGCAGATAACAGACTTAAGAGGGAGGCCGTATGCCTGGCTACAAAGTTCATCTTGATAGCACAGTATTTACTAGACATATGCCAACCATTATGCTATCGAGGGAATCGTCTCAACCTGCCAAACAACGTTTGCAAATTTGCAATTCTGTTTCGTGGATACGTCCAGATTTTCTGGGTCAACTACTATCAGCGCCATCATCAGCCCTAATCACATCATCGCGGTCTTTGCAGATGATGGAAGAAGCCGCAGTCCCGATGCTGCGATAAGAGTCAACTGACCGCATAGCGACGAGCTCGATGGCGAGGACAGTATTATAATGGCGAAACCAATTTTTGATCCACCAGGACAAAGCACAAGAGCATTCTCTCCATCGAGGAACTGAACATCAGTGGTTGAGATGATAAACCTCGTTTCTTGAACCACTGTTGTGCCTTTATCACGCCATCATAACCCCGCCATGCGCCATATGGAGAACTTTCATGGAGAGCAATGAGACACGACAGGGTACTCGAGTATAGTTGCGGAGGCAGGAATTCAATACCTGGTGGGAAAAACAGCAGATAATATTTGGTCAACGTGTAAGCGCACGGGCGTCGTAGTAATGTTCTGATATCCATACTATTTATCGACAACAATCTCGACTCTACGCCACAACAGGAGAATCCTTGTACCCTGACAAAATGACAACCGTATCTACGTATATCAGAGTCAGCCACCTGGAAGAACGTCTCTCTCATTGCCATTTGTCTGTGGGAAAATCGCCAGAGCCTACCATCCATCGATTCGAGGTTGCACCAGCCACCAGACAACATAACAAGGCAAAACAGAGCGCCTTGTTATTGAAGGGCGTAGGGGAGAACTATACTCTTGTGACAGATCATGACGTCCCTACAGTGTCGCATAAAGATGAGATCTTAGTCAAGGTACTAATGCGACTGGATTGCATTGAATGTTCTAACGATTATAGATCATGGCCATTGGGTTGAATCCCATCGACTGGAAAGGGCCGTAAGTATCCGTGTCTTCCCGAGAGGCCGTTTCTAACATCTCAGTGCATACAACTTCGGAATCCCGACCCTCCCATGGATCAACGGCCGTGACTTAGCCGGAGAGGTCATCCAGGTGTCTGACGGCTGTTCCCGTCTGCGAGTCGGTGATATCGTCCTCGTCCCGTCCACGGATTACCGGGATATACGCAAGGCTGCCTTCCAGGAATATGCAGTAGCGACACATTTCAACGCTGCCCGCATCCCCCCGACGGGCAATATACATGCCTCTGCGTCTTTGGGGGTGGCCTTTGTTGCCGCTGCTCTGGCACTGGGCGTCTCATTCGGGTTGGACTTTGGTCGTATTCAGAGATGTCCTGGTCCAGACCTTCCTGGAGCCCTCTTGCAGATCGACCACAAGGAAATTCCGACAGATATAACGGATGAGTGCTTTCGGTCATCGTCGAAAGCGGAACGAATAACGCCAGGGGACTGGCTTGTAATCTGGGGAGGTGAGCTGACACCATCTCAGTGATGGCGCTATGCTAATAAAGTCAGCATCCACAACGACAGGTTATATCACTCTGCAACTTGCCAAACTGGCGGGATTAAAAGTCATTTGCGTGGCCGATGTAGCTCGGCACGGTGCCAAACTCCTCGATGCTGGAGCAGACCTCCTCGTCGATCGCTACGATACCGCAAGGGCCGTGGAGATTATCCGCGGTGTAACCAAGGAAAGGCTGAGATATGTTATTGATATAGTGGGCAAGGACACGGCCGCTCTATTACAACAGACACTTGATGCTTCCGTGCACGATGATGGCTCGCATGCGCATCTGCTGGGGCTGACTGGGCTGCCCAAAGAGAGAGACAGCAGGATTGTTTACCATACAGTTCCAATTAAACTGTTCCATACCTCTCCTGCAGTGGGTGAGGCTACGGTGACTTGGCTTGAGGAGCTGCTACGAACAGAGACACTTCGATTGCCGGAGATTATACTGGCAGACGGAGGACTAGAGGGTATCAACGCCTCGTTGGAGGTCTTGAGACAGGGAAAGGCATCAGGGAAGAGAATTGTCATGAATTTAGAACGATAGACGACAGTTTGGTGGTAGAGAACAATTCCGAACAGATAGTCGAGGCTACAATAGATATCGGTATTCGGCTATTCCGTCTACCAAGCTTCTCATTACCGATTTTTTGACACGGCAGAACCACATACAGGACTCTTTAGAGGGATCAAATGTTTTTAAAAAAAATTACTCTAGGCTTTCGTTTTCTCATTTGCGGTTTCTTTACAATCAACGCCAAGTGTTGCGCAATTTGATCTCCTGGGCACGAATCCACCGCCCACTAACACCATCAAGAGCAGGCTCCGTCCTGTCTTCTTTTTACTAGGCAACGTTGGCAGGTTACCAGACACGATATGCCCCTCACACTCCTTTATCGATGGATTGTCATGAGGGGTAAGTATCAGTAGCTCTGTGGGTCTAATCCCGTGCTTTGTTTGACTATACAAAATCAGAAATATATCTACCCGATGCGACCACGAAGAGCTACACAACTAATCAAGCATTCTCTGATTAACCATTCATTCAATCAACCTCTGTAGTGCAACATGGGCTCAGCACAGAAAAAGCAACTCGTCATCAACGCGTTTGCCATGCAATCGCCCTCCCATCTCAACCCAGGTCTCCATCGGTATCCCTCAGACCAAGGACACGAGTACAAGTCCATCAAGCACTGGATCGCCCTGGCGCAGAAGCTAGAAGCAGCCAAGTTCCACGCCATCTTCTTCGCCGACGTGCTCGGCGGTTACGATGTCTATAAAGGTCCCGCCAACCTCGAGCCGACCATTCCCGCCGGCGCACAATTCCCCATCAATGATCCGCTATACAGCGTTTCGGCCATGGCGACCGCAACGGAGAGTATTGGGTTTGGCATCACCGCGTCAACGACATATGACGCGCCTTATGCCCTTGCGCGGCGGTTCTCGACGGTCGATCATCTGAGCAACGGACGCGTGGGATGGAACATCGTCACCTCGTACCTCGACTCCGCGGCGCGGAACTTTGGTCTCAACACGCAGGTGGAGCATGATGAGCGGTATCGCATCGCGGACGAGTATCTGAATGTCACGTACAAGCTGTGGGAGGGATCGTGGCGGGATGGAGCTGTTAACCGCAAGGATGGCGTGGCGGGATACGCGGACCCCAAGGCTGTGAGGCAAATCCATCACCAGGGGAAGTATTTCAATGTCCCTGGTCCGCATCTGTGCGAGCCGAGTCCGCAGCGTACGCCGTTTCTCTTGCAGGCTGGGACTTCGTCGGCGGGTAAGGCCTTCGCGGCTAAACATGCCGAGGCGATCTTTCTGAACGGGCAGACGCCAGAGTTGGTCAGGGCGTCGGTGGATAGTATTCGCTCGCAGGCCAAGGCGTATGGGAGAGATCCTACGTCGATCAAGATCATCACCGGATTGCTGGTCATTGTGGCCGAGACGGATGAAGCGGCGCAGGCCAAGTTTGAGGAGCTGGCTAGCTATGGTGACACAGAGGGCGCGCTGGCGCTCTTTGGTGGGTGGTCCGGTTACGACTTGTCCAAGTATGAGGATGACCAGGACTTTCGCTTTGTTGAGCAGCCCGCCATCCGCAGCATGGTCAACCACTGGGCAAGTACTGTTCCCGGAACGGACGGTAGAAAGTGGGATAAGAAGACTATTGCCGAGTATCTGCGTCTGGGAGGAAATGGAGCCAAGGTGATTGGAAGCGCGCAGACGGTGGCCGATGAACTGGAAAGATGGGTGGAAGTTGCTGATGTGGACGGGTTCAACTTCAGCTACGCTACCATTCCCGGGACATTTGACGATATCATCGAGTATCTACTGCCTGAACTACGCAGACGGGGCCTATTCTGGGAGGATTACGCGGTCAAGGGGGGACATTGCGCGAGAACATGTATGGTCTAAAGGGTCAGAACCGACTGCTAGAGACACATCCAGGAGCCAAGTACTTCTGGAGAGAGGGAGAGGAGGCTCCCGCATATGCAAGAGACGGGCAATGAGTTGTGTATATTGCTTGACCGATATTATAACAGAAGGAAGCCTCAAACGGTACAACAAGAGTATATCAATATGTCCACAACGCATATCTACTGTAGAGCAATTTAACAATGGGGATTCAAACATCCCACCAACCCTCAAGATACGACCGAAGATCGATCGTCTCTGGCTCCTTGAGATGCGGCGTCAGATCAGCCTCACTGTCCAACTCTCGCTGCCTCCATCCATTGCCAAAATAAGCAAATCGATTTCCACTGGGATTGGTGTAAGTGTACTCCCAGTCCTCCCACCGGGGGTCACGGCGGATGTAGTTGAGATGCGCTGCACTCCCGGGGAATAGACCATGGATCCTCCCTCCGGGTCGACCACCATTATACCATGAGCTACAATTATCGCTCCACACCGTCCGTGGATAGAATCGATCACAGTACTCGACAAAGTCGTCCGTGGCTGCTTTGGAAGGCTGCATTGTCTGTATGCCCTGGCTGCGGATCTTGCGAAGGAATTTGGCAACATAAGTGACCAGATTCTCGATGCTGTTAGGGACACTACCGCTGTGCCCGGTCGAATGAGGACCTCCAATCCAGAAGAGGTTGGGAAATCCGGGTGTTGCAACACCAAGATAGTTGTATGGATGGCCGTACAACCCGTCCGGTTTCCATGCGCTTTTGAGATCGATGCCATTCGCTATGATGCTAAAGGGAGGGGCGTGGTCGACGTTGGCTCCTGTAGCGCAGATGACGACGTCGGCCTCGCGTTCTATTCCATCATCTGTTACGATTCCCTTGCCTGTGAATTTTTTAATACGTGTCTGGATATAGCTGACATTGTCCTTTGTGAGCGCCTCCAGATAGCCTGGTCCCGGCGTGGGCCGACGGCAATTGGGTGGAAAGTCGGGGATAATCTTGTCTCCTAGTTCAGGTTTGTTGCCCACACGTTGCAGCATCAGGTTCGTCCATTTCTCACGCAGGTCTCTGTTCTCAGGCGAGTCTTTGAAGATGGCCCGAAACGGGAGAAGTAGCCCTGCTCGACACTCTTGCGGTACTTTAGGTACTCCTCGGGGTCTTTAAAGGATTCAAGCTGCTCCTGAGAGAATAAATTGGGCTCCAGTCGTCGGACACCCGTAGTGCCAAACGAATCTGCAATCCAAGTGCGATTCCTGGCGTAGTGATCCACATGTGCTGCGATGGGCTGGATGGACGGGAGTACCTGCAGCCCTGATGCTCCGTTGCCGATCAGTGCGACTCTTTTGCCCTTCAAATCGACGTTGTGATTCCAGTTGGAGGAATGGAACAGGTCGCCTTGGTAGTCATTGATGCCCTCGTAGTCGGGCAGCTTCCATGCATTGAAGTGCCCGATGGCATTGATCACGACGTCGAGCTTTTCCTCGTAGACCTAGAAATAGTTAGCCGTGTTTGTTTACTATATATCGGGGACAATACCTTTCCACTCTCCAGATCCTTCAGAGTAACCTCCCATTTGGCATCTTCAGACAGCCATTCGACCTTTTGCACCTTCTGCCGTGGCCGGAGATATTTGTAGACATCGTACTTACGAGCGACCCGCTGCCAATACTCGCGAATCTCATGGCCCTGAGCGAACTCTTCCGTCCATTGCGTGTTAGGCTCAAATCCGGATTGATAGACATGCGCAGGGATATCGCATCTCACGCCGGGGTACGTGTTCTCAAACCTGACGAGGTCAGTTACGCTCCAAGTGCCCCTCCAATGTTCTTACCATGTGCCTCCCACATCGGCATTCTTGTCGTAGATCCTCAGATCCAGTCCGGGCAGCTTAGCGGGCAGCAATACTCCGGCTGTGATACCTGATAGTCCAGCTCCAATTACCCCGACTTTGATCTGTCGAACCTCGTCGATGGGATGCTCCTCGAGCTCAAATGGCAGTCTTGTCGGTGGATACGGTTGGTTGACTTCGACAGTCTTTACTTGAGTGATAGTTCCATTCTTATCGACCGGGTTTCCGTTCTGCAAGAGCGTCTCAGTAACAATGAGACCTTTCGTTGTTGACATTGTGGCTATCTCGGTCGATGGATGATGCCGCCACTGCCCAAACTGCTCCTATATATCTACTGTCTGTGGATCTTTACTTAAACGAGCATAACAACCTGTCACGACCAAATGATACACGCCATCGACGATGGAATTGCGTTGATCAGCTCCGAATGGCCTGATTCGGCCGTCTCGTCTACTGAGGAGTTTGCTGTTGTCGGTGGCGGGGCCATCCCACAGGTCACATCATTGCGGGACAGAATGGTGTCACAGTATTTTGTATCAGATACAGCATTCAATTCATGGTGAACAAACTAAACTAGCCCTCCGAATACGGAGGTAAAAGTGCGAAAAAAGCTGTCTCGACTATTAATGCCGTAATCATGAAAGTAGATAAGCTAACCCCATGCTCAGGCCAACTGAATCCCCTGATCAAAGCGCTTCCACATCCCATCAATCAACTCATGTCTCCTCACAGCCCAGTCAAATGTAGGATACCACTCCCCTTTACGATACGCCTCATACAGTCGCGCAATATTTTGAGCGGGGATTGGCAGAGAATCCCATTCGTCTTCGTCCACTTTGAGCTCTTCGACTTGCCCGGAGTCAGTGCGATAAAGCTCCAACTTGGTCTCTGGCGTGCCGACATTGAGGAATCCCATAGGTGACGTTACTCGCAGCCAGCCTTTCTCGCCTTGGATCCGCCAGTCCAGTCGCGGCAGGCCTGGCATTTCCTTCCCTGCGTACAGGTTGATGGTGACGAACGCATCTGACTCCGCCGTGCCATGAATCAGAATCTGATCTGGAACTGTGTTGCGCACTGCTTTCTCGAGCACCTTGCCCCCGTCCGCGTAATTGACAATGTCCAGCTGCGGACGACTGATGGCACAGCTGCTGGTGAAGGTTTGGAATTCGCCAAGGACTGTCTATCGTCAACATGTGATATATTGCCAATGGCATGGTGACATACCGGAAATCACAGATTCTAGGGTGTGTCCGACATGAATACTCATCAGGTTCCCTCCCACCGTTCTGTCCAGAAAGTATCGGACATTCTTACTCTCGGAGGCCACCTCATTCCCGCCCGAGACTAGAAGTGTGCTGGACAAAACTCGGCCAATAGCTGCTTCGTGCACCAGCTGACGCAGCTTGCTGACAACCGGTGAGTAGGACGCCTGCAGTCCTACAATAGTCTTTGCGTCGTGAGCAGCTGCCAAAGCAGCCATTTCCTTTGCGACGTCTAGATTGCGGTCGAGAGGCCACTCGACGAAAACCGTCTTACCAGCCTCCAGACTGGGTCGCACTGTCTGGAAATGTCGGTCGACTCGGACAGAACAGACAACCAGGTCGATGCCGGGGTCATTGGCGAGGTCTTTCAAGTCAATGTCATCCAGCAAAAACGCCGTGATGGTTGAACACACCTTGTGGATTGCCGTACGCCTTGGTATCCTTCGGGAGATTGTATTTCTCAATAGCAGCCTGAGCTGACTGGACGGATGAGTTGAGCAACGCGGCGATAGTGAAATGCTCTGATCGTTGCAAAAAAGGGAGATGAGCACTGGAAGCCCAAGCTGTGCCCTCGTAGTCTGTGGCACCAGAGAGGCCGATCAGGCCAACGCGGATAGGAGACATTTCGGATTACTGTAGAGATATAGGAGACTGTGGATGCAGACGACTAGCTGTAGAAGATGGGACATGAGTCCGTTTAAAACCTTGAACTCGGCTGGATATCACCCCGTTGATGATTAGAAATACCATATTGTAGAAGTATTAGCATGGATTGGTAGTAGTCTTGATTTGTAATAGCATTCAACTTCTGACAGGGGAGCAGCCATACAGCTGAACATACCTTAGTTAATGGTAATATCCCGCTTAATAATCTGGTCCTCCAAAGGCTGACTGGGACACTTGACGGGTTATTTACAAGCCATTGTTCTCTCTGGGAATCGTTAGACCATTCAAATACATCTCTCCACCTATTGGCAGCATGTTCCCAACGCTCAGTTTGATTACAAATAACGCCAGAATTGTCCTCCCTCACTATGGAACTCAACAACCTGCGCAGAGGCCGCGACAAGGTTCACAACTGGCGTCCGAATTATAAACTTGGAGGAGGGTATGTCTCATATTTTGTGGCGCGTTGATCCAACTGTCAAATTGGTGATCCTCATCGGAGGCGACGATATCTGATTTGACCGTACGCAGAAAGGATAGAAGCCAAATGGCAATTTCGAATAGCGATAGGTATTCTCAAAGGAATACGAGCAAGAGCAAGATAGGCAAGAAGAATGAGAACATGAAGAGAACCATCCCCGCAAAAACCAAGATCTCGCAACCTAGGCACAGGCCGTTCTGACCAGCTTCCAGCCCTGTCGATTGATATTAGCAATCTACAAAGTATGGCGGTAGATGTAGTAGTACGCACTCCGTATGCATGATGGGCAGTTCCTCATGTAGATCACATTGTTTTGTTCATCGTGGTCGACAGCCTCTTCCTCATCGTCCCGGCCGAAGAGCCACTGGACGGCATTATCGCCATCCTGTTCACTGGCATTTCTTAGTCCATGATGTGGCAGACGGAAAGGGAGGCATAACCTACTTATCATACTGATAAAATGGATGCATCGTATCATGTCTGACAGCAACATTGGAAATTGGCATGGCAGCAACCTGCAAGCGGCCGTTTATTCGGCCCACCTGACGGAAGAAGGAGGCCATTGTAGCGTATTCAAGGGTGGAACTTTATCAAATGCAACTGCTATGTAGATATTGTATATTCTTCGAGGGCGGCGGTCGAGTTGAGGGTTGAGGGTATTGAAGGACATAGAGGTGAGAGAAGAGGTTTTTTGAGTGGGAAGCAGCATCAACCTTATAAAGTCCGGGGGTCCCACGGCTTGTATTCACTTTCCAACTTGAATTGTATTCACAATCAGGGCGCCAGTTTACAGATGATCGGATATCGCCATAGACAACTCCCTCGCGACTCTTTGACTTCGGCAATCCGTACGGAATCTGTGCTAAAGGCTTCCCTCGAGAGGTTATATATTCTATGTATAAAGTTTTTCTACCTAAATTACTTTAGCCTGATAATAACTTTATACATAATAGTGCCTCTATCCATACTAAATATATAATTAGGTCCCTACTTAGTGATATATAGATTTAGGTTATGGGCTGGCCACTATACTCCCCTAATCTAAATCTAATTAAGAATCTATGGGCAGTTATAAAAGGGATTATTTATAAGCACTATCCAGAGCTTAAGCATGCCCCAGATACCATGGATACTGAAAGGCATCTTATAGAGGTAGTAAAGGAGGCATAGCATATAATTAATAAGAGGGTCCTGCAGTATCTATCTAATATTATGCCTCACTGTGTGCAGGCAAATCTTGATGCAGATGGTTGGTAAACTTGGTGTACAAAATACTAGTTTCTACAGGGGCAGAATAGATTAAAATGGAAGTGGTGATCTTTGCGGCATCAGGGGTCCAAATACTTTCGAACCCCCACTGTAATAGAGATAGCCCGATCTGTGCCTGTGGATCTAGCTTATCTAATATATTGTCACGTGGCAAGCTGCTGGCGTACCTCCGCCAGGGGCCGCCCCCTCATCTGGATAATAGTTTGTCCGAACTCCGCACCCGCAGAATAGAAATACGAGAACCGAACAGCTTGGAGGAAGCCAAGCAGTTCATTCTGATCATCGCAATACATACGTTTTTTTCTTAGCAAACCTATACATTGGCGAGCCACCGTAACCGTAGCAGCGACTCACAGCTTAGTCGACGATACCTCGCTGGCTAGGAACCTCCTTAGGCAGTCACCTTCCGAACTGCTTACACTAGTGATATCAATATTTTTAGAGAAATCCAAAGTAGTGATTACTAAGCAAAACACTTGAGGTTTGGTTCATCTAATCTGATAAACCTTAAATTAAAACCAACAGTTTTGACTGAACTCGAATCGGTTCCACCCTATGGAAACCAAGACCAGTGTGATTCCCTAGGCTAGGAACTGAACCCTCACTGATGCGAGTTCAGTGAGGGTCGGATTCGATTTAGCGGTTCGGTTATGCAATCCTAGTTTGAATGCTATTAGTACTCCTTAAATATTCTGCCAAGGTCCGAATCGTTTATACCTTCCGAATCGGGCAAGCGGCAATATGATTCAATACCTTTCCTCTACAAGGCTCTCTTCCCGCCGTCCCGCCCATCGCCAACCATGTGACCGACTGGCTTCTACGGCTGATTCTTTTGATATTCAGGACTGTAATCGAACATCTTCGCTTCCCTGTTGCAAACTGTTACAGCGACAGATATGTCTCGGATAGGAGGCAACCTGGTGGAGATTTCGGCCGTGTCCACTATCATCGGCGCCCCCATAGCGGAAGCGTTGATCCATGGTCTCAAGGCGGCGTGCGGCATTGTCTGGGCTCCCATGAGCTGCTTCGGGCAAATTCATGTTATCAAAGCGTGTCTGTCTGCTTCGGTGCCAGACTCTTTCCGCGAATCGATGGGTCTCCGCAATCAGTTCGTCGACAATGCCCTCGGAGTCCTCCTGCCAGTGAACCGGTTTCGACGAGCGCGCAGCCGTATCGATTTCGGCGACGCGGGTGCCATCGAGGTCGTTCCGCGCCGGTACTGGATCGGTCGATGGGCCCTGAGATGGATAGGAAGTACAAATGGCTGGCCGAATCCTGTCCCGCTCGTCTCCCTGCAACAGTGGAAGCGCCGGTCTGGCATGATGACAGTGCACGAGGCCACGCAAATGGATGCAATCGCTCGGATCAAGACGTCGGAGTCGCACGATGACGTCTACGCAGCACATGCGATTTACACATTGGACAAAAATGCTCAGCTGGCGCTGGACACGGTCCCGGCGGCGGAGAGGGGATCGCCCATTGACATCTATCGTTTCATTCCGGACCAAGGAGGCCTTCCGTCGCCCTTGAGGGATTGGGCCTGGCTGTTTCTTTCGCTGGTCAAGCTGATAGAGGTCTTTACACTTCAGAAAGTGGGTAGTCAAGGAGTCTGGGCGTGGACGATGGCAGGCTGGGCTCATGCCTTTGTTGCTGCTGTCCTCCTGCAGGTGACCGGTCTGGGCCGCGACAGTCCTTTCAAGCGAACGAGGCATCTGGTGGCGGGTATCCTACCGTCTCCGCTTCGTATGGGCGAGCAAGGAAAGATTGTCTTGGGGATACCTGCCAACATACGGCGTCATACGCTGTGGCGTATCGTGCTGGCGTTGGGGATTGCCGTCAACCTGGCGGGTTTGCTGGGTACTTTTATTCGACTGGATGGTGAGCCGACCGAAGCGCTGTACTGCTGGATCGGATTCCAGATTCTATGGCTTGTCATGCGGACCATTGTCTACTATTTTGCCGCAGGAGGAACAGCCATCCAGCAAGGAATCATGTCGTGTCGCCGGTGGAACGAGGCGCCGCCAGAAGACCGGCAGCAGGTCTGGTTGCTTCTGAATGAGTTGGCAAGCCATCAAGCATCGACGCATCCGCGGGGGTTCCATGCGTACCTGTTCGACTGCATGTCCTTTGAGCAGCTTCGCCAACTCTTTGTGCGAGTCGACTGGACATTGAGTCCAAAGCTTCCTCCCTTTCCAGCTGAGATACGGCTGGACAGCATCGCCGTTCACGCTGTCACTGGTGATCCCATGATCCGGAGTGCCGTCTGGCAACAGGGGGTGACTCTGGATAACTCTGAGCTATACGACTCCTGCATTACATTTGTCAATCTTGCATCCGGTGACAAGCAGGGGTACTTGATGGCTGTCCCCTGTGTGCGAGTGTATTCCTGTCACTGTGGGAGTAAAGAGGGCCACGACCGTGGGAACAGTCACCCCGACTGCGGCAACATTGAGTGGTGGCATTTCTTTCCAGTCGATATACAGAACTGCATTGGTCGTCGTTGGCTAGTTGCGCATGGCAAGCAAGGGGTCGGACCACTGGAGGCAGAGATTCTGGATGAAGACGAGCTCGATCAAAGACTCTTTACAGGCTGGTGGAAGATTAGCATCACGGGGATCAGAGGTTTACGAAAGACATGGGAAGTCTCAGTGCAGGCTGCAGAGATCACATTGTCTTTTACACGGGGGATCACCGAATGAATTGATGACAATGAAATTAATGGCCATAATGATGATGATGATGATGATGATGATGATGATGATTGCCGACCACGGGATTCGGATTCCGATGATCGGAGTTGTACATAAACGACTCGATGTCCCCATAACTAGATCATAAACCAAAGAATTGATAGATATACTCTCAGGATGATTACTGCAATCTCTCATATCAATCTCCTGGTTCCTCCAGGGACATTAAATGACGCGTATACATTCTATGTGGATACATTGGGGCTGACTGCTGCTCCGGTCCCCCAGTTACAGAAAGAGACAACTGCCTGGTAATTATATCGACTGCTCTCTGGGTGGGATATTGCTAAGTGGCCAGGTTTAATATCACACCAGATGGAAAGCAGCAAATCCACATTGCATTCGGACAGAATGAACCGGATTCTCCTCGCCATCCCTGCCTTCGGGTAGCCTCGTTGGACGACCTGCAAAAGCTGCAGCAACGAATATACGATCACCATCTTCGAGGCGGCTCGGCTGCTCCTCTACAGGCGGATCTACCGAATGAATGTTCAGGTGAGGCTGGAACCAGCGTGCATGGACGAAACTGTTATTAATCTTAAGATTGTAGGGGAAAAGGGGGTCGAATACCCGGCACGCTTCTTCGCCAGAGATTACGCAGGAAACCGTCTTGAGTTCAGTTTATAATTAGCAAAGGTAGAAACTTTTGTTTGAGACTTTGTCCCAGTTCTTTCCATCGTTTGCCAGTGTGAATACAAGGAGTGCGCCTGCCGCGTGACTCGCAATGGAAGTCAACTGCATTGGTGCTATCTAAGGAAACATCCTGGTCAGTAAGACACCTCATTTACAATTTGTGGAGTCGCAAAATATGCTCCCCTGGCCCTCCTGGCTTAACATTCATGGGTGGGAGTTAGAGTAGCTGGATACCTCAAGCCTGCCTAGTCAGCTTCGGTAGTACACTGGAGAGTCCTGACTCCTGGTCCATAGATAACAGCCCGGTGTTTGATGGATGCCGCTGTTTTATTGTTCTCTAGAAGTGAAGGGAGTGCTATAATCTCTCTATAAAGCGAGGCTTAAGCATATTGACTATTTTCGAGGAATGAAGCTATGTCGAAATATCAGGATCATGACCTTCAGCAATCCTATACTAACTTTTCTCCCCAGCCTCCTCCTCCCATCCGCCGGGAGTCGGCTGTCTTTCCATGGTCCTGGTTTCCAACCAGGAGACTCCTGTTTCTTACCATCGTCAGGCTTCCAGCCACCTCCTCCTCCCCATCCACCATCAGTGTCCTGTTTCTCAGGACCCATCCACTGTTTCCGTATCCATTCGCCCTGTTCCTTGGCACCATCCGGCTTCTGGCCTTCTGAAGTTCCAGCTCCTACGGTGGAGCAGAATTGGTAGTCGATGCGCCGGCCACTTGCCAGGGCACAATGCTCGCCATTGTAAACCTCACCTTCTTTGCATTTGGGCTCCTGCTTTAACGCACAATCTTGGCTGGCTTTGTCAAAGATGGTTCCCTTGGGACACTTGGGAGGCTCACAGGCAAAGGCAATGATGGCCCACCAATTTGTTTCCTTGTTTGAGACGCAATGCTCTCCTTCGAGAATGGGTATCTTTCCCACAAGAGGGCCGTTCACTGATGCAAAGCTTGCCGTTGAAGAGAGTGCCAGGCTCACATTCTGGTGGAACACCCTTGACATATCTGTTATTCTTGGCCATGTATCCATCAGGACACTGCTTTCCCCCTGTTTGGACACACTTTCCTCCTTTGAACACGAATCCGTCAAGGCACTGTGGTCGGTCAGGAGATTCACATCGCCCATTGACCATTTTCATTTTACCAGGGCAGTGCACACTGACACTGACACATTTACCGGCTCGGAGCCTGGTACCATCAGGACAAATGGGAGGCTGGGGGAGTATACAGCTGCCATCCTTATTAAGAACAGCATTTAGAGGGCAAAATTAGCTGCTTAGGGGAGATATAGTCTTTACCATCAATTGTCGTGCCTTTGTCGCAGGTTGGAGCCATGTCATAGATGCAATTACCTCCCTTGGGGACCCCCTTCATTGCAACAGCCAATGTGCTGAGTGACAGTGTGTACCATTCCATTGGGCGTGTTCACCACATAATGGAGTACCATGACTAATACATTGGTTCCCTTGAATCCAGGTACCCTTAGGACATCTCACAACATTTGGAATTCAAGTTCCTGAAGTTCTAGATCTGCGGCGCTTACGCCATGTTGAATGGTACTGGGTGCAGAGAAGTTAGTGATTGCTGAGAGAGCAGAAACATGCTGGTAAACCTCGAGCAAGCCTACATAGCAGTTCCACAGATAGGTAGTTCTTGATAGAAGCTGCATCATGGATATCAAAGTGATTAAGCAACTTACATGTGTGTGACATTTTTTCATCGCATTTATGGAGATTTCCATCTCATGGATGGTGGTGGAGCTTCCATCCGTCCCGTCTGAAGACGGCATCTTACTCAAGGTAGAACTTTTGTTTTCCGGCATTGTCAACTGGTATGTGATGCACGCAGGTATGGTGGAAGGCTATTTATTGTCTTGATATAGACCATCGCTCGGCGCGGCGGATGCTGAACTGCCGAACTGTCGGGCTCAGCGTTCATCCTTTCGGGTTGGAAGGTAGACCAATAGTTCCAATGAACAACACCATAGCAAAGTATCATAATCTGCCTCTTGTATGCACATTGATCTCCATATAGAAAGCTAGATTCTATGTCAAAATAACTGTAGTACGAATGATTCTGATGAGAAGAAGTGGTCAGGTGTAGCCTTCTGGTACCTAAAGTTTACTTGGCATCATCCTTCTAGGAGGCTATGGACTATGATTATGAAATGGCGCTGGCTTGCCTCTCTACCACAGTCAGTGGATGCTAGATATGAAGATGATCAGTCCAATTATTACCAAGCGCAACTTTTTTTTTCCTTTTCCTTTTTTTGGTGGGGTAATCCCCATCCCCATTCCTTGGGCGCAGTCCAGAAACGGCACCCGATTTAATGGACGGGATCTGGCTGGGGGTTTCATTGTTTGACTAATGAGGCGGAGCGTTCATTGGCCAAGGCAATCAATTTGGGGATTGTATGCTGATGGTATGGACAAAGTACGACAATTCCTATCTACCTAACGTAATTGCCAACTGAACCGCTAACCTGACCCGGGAATTACGTTAGTAGACCACGTATGACAAGAATGGATAGAAGCATGACATAACTCATAAGTGTGCTAAGTACGAAAGCCAGGCATGGAGTCACGGCCACTAACTATGAAGGCAAGCACCTGGGTTCAATCAATACCTTAGTAAGCCTTCCTGCTGCGGCAGCAGGTAGATACAAATTATTAACGTAATCGGTAAGCGAACCGCCGTAGGACAGCCGCCATCTCCAATTCCATATAAAATGGCACTTTTTAAACCTCAATATCTCAACAACAAAGCATCTAGAATACATAAAACTTAGTATATAAGGTATTCTTATGTTGAATATATTTATATATTAGGTACAGACCCCTTAGAGTTTCTATTTTCTCAAGGTAACATTCTTTACAGCTGATATTTTTATATTCCAGAATAATACTATATTATTACTCATAAGAAATCCTGAAAGATTTGGAAAAGATTATATTTTTATTCTATATTACACATACATATGAATAAATTATAGAAAAAGCATCCTAAAGCTATTGTGATGGAAGTATTAATGTTTTAAATGGGGTTAGTTTATATGGAACATGGGAGATGGCGGCTGGCATACAATGGCGGTTTGCTGTCCGATTACGTTTGAACTTAAGCACACCAAATTAAACTTATGAATCCACCTTTCAGACGTCATCTTGTAAAAGGCAGTTAAAAAATCTGATTATCTCAGAAATGTAGGTAGGAGAGTTGTATATTATTTATCAATGCAAAGTAAGACAATTTCTATTGGTCTCCTAGACCATGATAGTAAAGAAGTTGACATGGAAGTAATTCCACAGCGTATTGAGCCATTGGACAGCCTTGTGGTTATGTAAGGAATCTGCCCTTGCGATAAGATTGCTACGAATTCACGAGCTGCCTGCCATCTCGCGGTAATGTCAGTTTCTTGGCCTAATGGAGGTACTAAGATTTAGCTGGATTCCTTGCAGGTTAATTACGAAATGTTAAGGTTGTTAGACTTAGAATTATTAGGTAATCCTAGGTACTTTAGTCCTCCGTGTCTGGTGAATGGATTACCCAACGTCTGAGATGAATCTGAGAGAAGACGAATATTGATGTGTTGAACGTGCCTGATGATCATTCCAACTATGACAAACTCATAGTTTGAATTTAATGGCGGTCCTCCCTAACCAAAAAATAATGAGTTATGATGAGACTACTTAAACCAGCTCAGTCCTCTGTAATCATTTACTCCTTTTTCAGTGCACATCTTGTTGAGAGCTTAACTGTTTCATCATAACCTACCATGTCTGAGTTAACAGATTTCTCGGACATGATTACAGATACATATACCCAAGAGCCCAATCCCGAGTTTTTTCTTTCTGATACTCAAATTGACGCTGATACTCTATCGTGCAATCAATACAATGTTGCTCCTGACGATTTGTCACTGTGCGAAAGCCCATCCTCTTTTTCTCCAGTTACTTTCCCATCCAGCTGTCAACTTTGGGGAAGTATACAGCCGCCAGCCAACCAGATGCCGGCTTTCGTTTCTCCCTCACATCTTTCGCTCGGCACAATGGTGAACACAATGGGTGGACTCACCCATCGGACTGACCATCATCAGTCTGTCATTGCCGCTGCTCAGTCTCCTCATCCGAATGACCTGGCTAGCAGTGACCGAGGCCATCCAATGGCTGTGCCTTCCAAGGTAACCCCACCTGTGACATCTAATGGAAGTCGGAAGAGAAACAGGTACCGTCGATCCTGGAAACAGCAATAGACTATGCTGACGCACTTCCAGATACCCTGCCAATGCGGACAGTCTCGTATGTCAATGGCTAGGGTGCACGTACAAACGCTCGTTCAACCGCAAGCAGGATCTCCTGCGCCATTTGAAAACTCAGCACATATTCCGAGATATATACATCTGTCCTGTCGAGGGATGCTACAAGAGGCATAAACGACCCGATATCCTCAAGGACCATATCAGTTGGTGTCATGGAAAGGCGGCATGTGTTGAGGACAATTCCGGACGACCTGACGAGGGAATGATTGGTCGGGGCGTAACAAAGAGGCGAAGACAAACCAGGATTCAATAGTTACTGTATAAGGCCATTCTCCCACTGAGGGTATGGATTATAGTATTTAGGACTCAGGCATACTACGATGCAACCACTTGAACAGATCCAAGACTGCTGCATCGGGATAGCCTTTTTTACGTTTGTTTGATTTATTTTACTTTCTTTCCCCTTTACTCTTTTACAGGGCCCCCGATGTCAGACCTACCACAGAAAATACATCTCACTTGAAGAGATAAGGCTCTCTCCACGGCCGCTAGGGAGTACTACGATGACAAAGCAAAATGCGGTGGATTCTGCGCAGAGTAAATCCCGAGTTTTTCGAAGCATAATATTACTGGGCGGTGCTGATAATTGTTCCTGGTGCGACCAAACGTGCTCTAGACAGTCATCGGGCCTTCAGCCCTCACTAGGAAGGATTTTAAAAGGCATGAAAGCCGCAATGAGTCGCCATGATACTTCTTAACAACTTCCTCTGCCACTGTCTTCTCATCCTCTCTTTCGACTTGCCATGTCTGATCTGCCATTCCTGATTGGCTCGATGTCTCGACGGCCTTGTTTCTGTCTACACCCGAAGACACCACAGACACATTAGATCCTCGCTCTCTTCTTCCTGATGGTCAGTTTGTCGACAATGCCCCAAACGGCAGCAATGGCGCCCCGTGCAATGACTCTAGTGCCCTGTTTTCTAGTCCCCTGCTCTATGAAGATCCTTCTCTGCCATTCGAAATTGGCATGCATCCCCTGGCCCAATCCCAGAGGCAACCAACATATCGGATACCGTCATTCCCAGTGATCAGCAGCATTGGCCTCCAGACCGTATCCGAGTGCTCCGGCTTTCTCAGGGAAAACGTGCAGTCGGGGTTCGACGCCTGGGGCCGTTAGTCCTATTGATGTTTGTCATTTTACGAAGTTTGCTGCTCATGACCATGGGAAACGGGGTGACCCAGTAATCTAAACAGGAAGGTGATGATTGGAAATTGGATACATTATGAGCATATTGTTGAGCTGGAGAGACAGATACGAGGAGAACTTTGGTCCCAGTCCATCACGGTACAAGGAGGGATTTTATCAGGTGGAAGGAGCACAGGGTTAATGGGAGCTTTGAAGACGCTCTCATCGCTAAAGACTACATGAAATCCACCTAGGAAAGGGTGTTGGGACGACAAAGGTCACCGGGGCCGGACTAAGGAGCTGATGTAAAACCACCTCCAAACTTCTTTTTTACCAGGGAGGCCGATTACCTTTCTACCTCAAGGTCCGCGTTGAGAGTGCTTCGAAACCGCGCTCTTGGCGGCCTTTAATGAGTGGTAGGTCTCCAGTTCCGCGATCAGACTCCAAGGAATTGCAAGTGGAGGTTGAGCCAGCCTGTCTTTTTTCGGCCTTCGCCATTTTTGGAAAGAATGTATCCGTAAAAGCTTGGGCTTTGTCTTCGTTGTTTATCAGTTCCTCTGTCCCGACCTTCAGGTTTGGTATGCACCCCCAGGCGTCGCGAGGTTTCATGTATGTTGCGGCTTTCCACTTTATCAAGGAACTCTTTCCAGTGGGCTGCTTTAGCTTTCTCAATCGCCCGCGTCCATGATCTTCGTTTCCGACGCAGGTCAGTGAAGAGCGACATCGAGAACTCGAGATCTCAGCCGCATATCGCGCAGCTTTCCTGCCATCTTCGGCAAAAGCGATTTACCTCGACTTGTTGCGATTTGAGGCCTGCAGTGAACCACCATTTGGAATACGGGGATGGTCGACAGTCAAGCGTGTGTCGTGATATGGCTTCTGTAGTTGCCGCTGTAAGTTTCTCTACAGTTTCATCTAGCGCGGAGCTGGTGCTTAAGCCGGGTAATGGTTCCATCCGCTGCAGAACATCTTCGCTTATCTTGTTCCAGTCCGCCCTGTCGTAAGCCCTTCTCGTCTTGTTTTTTTGTTCGTTGTGTTTGGAGGCTCCATTCCGAGTAAGTTGCACGGTGGCCTGAACCATCTATGAAGAGGATACCGTATCCAGTTTTGGTGGTCCCAACTCCAGCTATGTGGACGACCTGGGTATTTGGCACGCTCAACAGTGCCTCGCGGATCCGAGCGTTGGCTGTTGCTGTAGGAGGATATCGGCCAAAGGTGTCTCTTCCACTCCCAGCGTTATCTTGGAGGTCTGTGTTAGAGTGTTGAGCGCTAATCCAGACGCAGTTTTGTTCCTTGTCTGGTCGCTGGCCATTGTTTCGAGGGTTTTGATTGTCATTGGCGGCCGCCACTGTAGCCCTTGTTCTCGCCGGGCTTGTCAAGGAGCGGGTTTCGATCTGCTCACAGAGAGCTTTCACTTCGTTCTGCCGCTGTTCGTTAATGGTCTTTAAAGCGTGCTGGTCGCGCTCTACCTCCAGGAGACCCGCCTTCGTGGGTTCGATAATCACCGTTTGATGGGTGATAGATGTCCTTCAGGTTGTTAATGAGCTGTCGGACCTCCTTGGCCGTAGCGCGCCCCCTATGGTCACCGAAGTCTGCGAACTCGGGTTCGCACAGGCTAAGCCGGTTATCTCATCTCCATGACGAGTGCTTCTTCTCTTGTGAGGGACGATAGTTGCGTGTTTGTGGGATAAGGTTCGGGAACGCATCCTGGGAGGGTCCGCCATCGGGCTGTGGTTAAGGTCCGCTGAGTACGCAACAAAATTGATCGCGAATTCAATAGCCAGCAACACAGGATATCAACCAGTTTCTTTTTTTCGATGTCCCGGAGGATGCCCCGTAGGTGCGACGATCGGTCCAGGTACAGAGCCGGCCGAATCTGATTTCCATGTTCTGCATAGAGAGAGAGAGGCCATCAACTCCTAAATGCCAAGGGGGGCTAGTTATATATGGTTAAGGATGGATTTGACCCATCGTTGTGTGGATCAGCCGTTTTATACTGGAAGATGAGCGCTTCGCACGCTGTGGCCCTGACACGACAAGAAAGAGGAAAGAGATATGTGGGGTTATCGAGATGGATTGAAATGACATAGAACTGAGGCTGGAGAAACTATTTGGATTGGGTAGAGTATCTGCATACCGCTCTATATTGACCGTCTACAGCATTCAAGCATCACCAGTTTCAAAATGGAATGTTTGATAGATGATCTGAGAATCACTCGTTGTGTGACCCGCTGAGGAGTCTGAGCAATTACTATTTAGACCTCAAATTGGTAGTGGGTTTGCGCAGACGGCTTTCCATGAGATTTCTCGGTCCCTATTTCGAGTCGTCTCCCCACTTTCCGTCGGAAACAACAAATGAGACGTGGGTACATTCAGAATGGGCCTGCCAGGGTTACCATCAGGACAAATGGGAGGCTGGGGGAGTATACAGCCGCCGTCCTTATTGAGAACAGCTTTTGGAGGGCAAAATTGGCTGTTTAGGGGAGACACAGTCTTTGCTGTCAAATGTCGTGCCTTTGTTGCAGGTTGGAGTCGTGTCACTGATGCAATCACTCTCTTCATCGCGACGGCCAACGTGCTGAGTGACACAGTAGTTCACCTTGAGGGGCAGTACCGCAAGTGCGAGGTCAGAAAGCAGATCAGAGGTGCATAACCGAACCGCAGTAAAGTCGCATTCAGTTTTAGCTGGTCCGAATTCTCATCCGGGTGGCACCGGACGGCCCAGAGCGAGATCTAAGCCTAGTTGTTGAACCTCATGGCTGCCAGTGCAGGCTGGGATGCTGTCATTCATCTCCACTCCCTGGATCCGTTCGAGTTTCATCTTCTGCGTGCAGTGCAGGATGCTCTTTGGAGCAGTTGACTGACTTTCAGTCTCATACGTACACAGTTCGTGTTGTTAGAAACTGGATCAGCTGTGTTATAGGACAGTCTCCGTGGCGCGCTGGTCCCTATCCTTCATCAGCACTGCTCCGAGCAATACTGATCCATATCCTGGGCCATGTTTGGGTTTCTTTGTCCTTACTAACTACATGGGGCAGTTCTCGAAAGCCACTTTTACTCTACTGTCCTACCGCATGACTCATAACTTTTTTATGGACCCTGCTAAGCTCAGGATTTATCTTCCAGTCACACCGTTTGTAGTCGATCACTGGGTTACTACCAAAGCTGCTAGACTCTTCAATCAAGTAGCTTGCGTACATTGGTTTAATGACATGTAATATGCCGCATTTCCGAGAGCTATGGAGATGAATCATTATAGCAATTTTGCATGCGCTTAAATTCTCACACTTCGATACTAGATCCTTCGACTTATATCCTTCGTCTCTCATAAGCCTGGCGAATCTCCTCGGGATTGAATTTTCCCAAGGACAATCGACACACGCAAGACCACTGATAAAGAATAAAAATACTGCGTTGGGATACCTATCAGTATCTGCCTGGTGTCGAACACAGAAGAGAACTTACAATGTAGACACGCCTAAACAACCACACGCAATAGTGATGTTCTGGAGAATACTGGCGACCCCTGTACCAATCGAGAGCAGGACACGTTTGTCCAGATTGATAACCTTGTACGTGTCGCGGTCACTTCGCATCACAAACATCAAGGGAAACGCAGCACCCCACATTATGGTGGTGAAGGCCAAGATGATGATGAACCTAGCCGGGGCCTAGCATTGGTAGGTGAAACGGGCTTGGTGAAGGAGCTAAAGGCTAGGAAAAATTCCAGCGCGGACTGTGAAAATGTCAGATCTCCTCTCCATATCTCAGGATGTTTTCCTACCACCGCCAGATTGTATGAAGCCGCAGACCGCAACGGGCCTGGTGGTGTTTTCGAGATGATACCAGCCGAGAGCCCAAGCACCACGACAGCACAGACCCACAGGCCAAATCCCCCAGTGTCAATCTTGGAATATAGATCTCCTACGGGGCCGGCATCATCATCTTTGTTGCCAGAGACAGGTCTCCGCGCCGCACCAGTTGAAGTGGCCATATCGCAATTTCAGGAGGATCACGATGGTTTCAGGGGTGATGAGGGCTATCTGGGCCAGAATAGAGTTATAAATAATAGGTGGGCCTCCTTAGCGCCGTTCGCTTGGAGCAAAATATACGAATCGGTGAATCGCCCAGCCTGAGCACCTCGTATTGATAGAAGCACAGACATGAGGCTGAATCGAAGCTCCATCGTGAGCCGCCACATATGGTATGCAACGAGGGAAGCCAGTGTTCGGACAAGGTAATCGATCTGTGCCATGAATATTGAACAGAGCTTATTAAGATGCTGGTCACTGCCTTGGTGACTCAGTCACTGCTGCCAGCACTCATTCTGTTGATCCTTGCGGAGTCATGACTATGGTGGAGTGCTCATCGCCATGAATGATTGTGTACCATCTGTCCATTACAATCCAGCTATATATAGATATATATATATATATGGTCGTAACACTCTATTTATTATGATCGTGGACATCAGACAGCCAATGATGACCACTCTTCCATTCCCGTCTTTCGGATGTTCCTCCCACCATCCACAAGGCTGAATCTGCCCTTGGCATAAGTCTAAGTCTATAAGCTGTTCCACCTTGTGAGTCATACTCTTCATTCCTGAATATATATGAGAAGCCAACTGCCGACCGAGAAAAATTATATGCAAAGTAAAAACAAGATGGCGTCGGCAACAGTTCTAACAGCGCAGCCCATCTCCCTCGACCGGCTTCGAGTAAGCGATTCTACAGAAGGAGTCGCCCAGGCCGCCGAAGACGACAATGCGTCTCCTCAGGACGTTCGACCGCGGTGGTCGGATCGAATCCTAGCTCAAGGTCCCTGGGATCAGACAGTGACCCAAGGCATGCTCAAAGGAGCACCCAGCCTGCCGATGCCAGTCGAGATTAGCGATGCAGGCTCTCTTACGCCTTTCTTCAATCATCTAAAAAATGATGGCAGTTATGAGACCGCGTCTGATGCTAAAGGCGAGAGCCAACCGGCAGCCGAGCCCTACCACAGCGTTCCGACCTTGGAGTTTAATAAGGGAGTACTGTACGAAGACGGTCGGATGGACCTGTGCAAGATGGCTCTTGGTCCGCCGAATATCTGGACGCTGATGCACAGTCTGCGCTCCAACACGTTTGTGCAGCATTTTTTGCTGGGGAATAACATCATCGGCCCAGCTGGAGCACAGGCAATTGCAGACTTCGTACAGGAATTCCCCAACCGTATTGATACTTGGTATCTAGCGGGAAATTGCATCGACGGAGCATCGTTTGCACTCTTGACAGATGCACTGGTCAAGTCGCCCGCTGTGACAAATATCTGGCTTAAGAGGAATCCTCTCGGTCCAGAGTCGGTGGATTCCCTCTTCCGCCTCATTACCCACACTCCAAACCTCCGGACACTGGATCTGGATCAGACAGAGCTTGGCGATGCAGGCGTCGCTGCTCTGTTTACTCGATTGGCGGAATACATTCCTGCAACGCCGTTGTCAATGAGAATCCTGTACCTGTCCGCGACTGGGATATCAACAGCGGCCTGTGAGGCGATTTCCAGGTATCTGGCCTCTCCGCATTGCCCTATTACCTCTTTGTATATGTCCAGCAATCCGATCGGCGATGCAGGGGCAAAAGTGCTTGCCAAAGGACTGCAACAGAATAAGACACTGCAACGTCTTTCGCTGCAATCAGTTGGCCTTACTGACGAGGGGGCGACGGCATTGGTTTCATCCCTGCAAGGCCATCCTGCATTGGAGACTCTCGATATCAGTCCGTCCTATTCCACGCAGGACTTGAATGCGAGGTATGTCTTTGACCAGTGGATTGAAGAAAAGCGACTGACAAAATAGGTTCAATTACCTATCCGCGGAATGCACAATCAGCGCCCTCTGCTCCCTTGTGACTTCGTCGACCCCTCTCTCCTACCTCGGCCTCGGCCCCCAGCCATTTTGCACCACGACCGCCTTGCCTCTGATGGCTGCTGTGCAAGAGTCCAAAACGATCATGTATCTCTCCCTCAAGCCGCTCATCCCGTCGCGGTCCACCCCGAAAGACAATGCGCGGTTTGGTAGTGCATCCAAGGCGCTGCGAGCGCATACCCTGAGCAACATCCGCGCGCACTACGGCAAGCCGACCATGACTCATCTAGAGTGGGAGGCTGACCTCAAACGGTGGTGTGTTAGCGACCAGGTCAGCGTGCGGAAAATTGACAGCGTCTACCGCAATCGAGCGGCGCAAAAGGCGCGCAGGGGCGAGGAAGTTTTGCGGAAATGGTGGGCCGACGAGGAGAGGGGCGTTCTGGAGGGCGTGATGAAGGCGTAATCGCAAGAATACCGCATTGTCGGATATGTTAAGATATCATGTCGGATGGCCATGATTGGCGGCTAGAATCGATCCCCTTGTCAACCTATATCGACACAAGCTATTGACTTGACAAGATGACAGCTCAGGGGACTGCATGGACATGTCACCTTGCATTCAACCATTTACTCAATTTCTCCAGACATGCATCTATTCGTTGCAGATGATCTCTGCACACTTTGTTGGCAAGGCTGGACTTTGGCCTCAACTAAGTGGATCCTCGCCGCAGACGTTCCATTTAAATACAAATGACACTGAATGAATGAATGCGTGATCGAGCTCTGGGTTGGCTCCATAATGATAAGCGACGTCCGGTCGGTAAGTGTGGATAAGAATTATAGAATCAGACTCGGCATTTCAATCGATATTTTATAAAAGTTTCTCTCCAGGGCCAGGGATCACGTCGGAATATATATAGAATAATAGTCCCCACATTTTAGGTATCAATGAAAGGTTGCTTCGAGGAAAGGGGACGGTCCGGATAGAAATGTATATATTTCGCTTATCCATGGCCAAACGAGGTTTATACTCACTGTTCTTCGACTATTCAGCAAAAGATATGCATGTTTGCCAACCATATAATTCAAGACTCTGGACTGAAGGAAGACAGGGATTACCTCATTTTGGGTAAGTTGGCAAATATTGAGTCACTGAATGACACGTTGACCAACATGACTTTCTCAGCGCACAGCCCTCGTTCTAGTGGAGGACAACTCAGTGCAGTCAAGCCTTGGTTTTGGAGAAGTTACGGAACGGGCCGTAAGTTCCATTCAAGACCGAAGCTTGAAGTAAGCAAAGCAGACAGTATCCTTGGCTACATGATTCCCATCAGACAGCTACAAACAGTGGCGTAGTGCGGAGTAACCACGATCTACGATAGAATCATCATCTTTTGCGCTCACTTTCGCTAGTCCCGCATCTCGGAAAGACATCTCAAGATTAGCTGAACTCAATCTGTCCCAGAATGGAAAAGCTGAGGCAGATCGCCAGTTGCCAAGAAAGGGAGACCCATGCCAAGACGACAAAAAAGGCAGCCAATGCCGGCGTCACCCGGGGAACAGGCTCTGATGCACAGGGCAAGGCATGTCCTGACTCGATTGAGCAGTCACACGGCATAAGCAGTGGCCCACAAGCAAGGGATGGAAGGGCCCCCACCTGCACCCAATAGTCTCGGATAGTGCTCACTGCAATCCACTCCCGGCGATACAATGAGCTGGGGAATGTACCTGAGGCTGGCTGACCAGGACAACAATCCCTGCAACAGCTGATCAAAACATTGCGGTAGTAATACGCTTCCTGTGCCGCTCTTCTCTGAAACTCAAAAGACACAGTCCAAATGCTCATATATTAAGCTTTAGCTGGACGCGTTAGAGCCCCTCGGATTCTTCTTCTCCATCCTGCCAAGTGCCAAGGGGCCTTATCATCATGAAACTGCCGAATCTCGTGGCCTATGCGCTGTGTCTGTCGTTCACCGCGGCGAAAGTCATTCCTGATGATGCCCCGGATCCGAATGGCAGTGCTGTGCGGCGCCATCTCATGGCTCGATCGGCCATGATTACGATAGAAAAACGGCAGCGACAAGGTAATGCAGCGGCCATTCCTCGCTGGTGACGAACCGATACTGACTGGTCATAGATCACGAGTTCCGCCAGAACCTGTCGACAGTTGCTCGACAGGCAGATGTCATTGTCCAGGCGATCCGGCAGGAGGAGATTGATGACTATTGGCGGCAGTATGGCACGTTCGAGCATCCAGAGGACGAGCGGTTCGCCGGGGAGATGTTCCCTCTGGCGCGACCATACATCAATTCCACGAAGCTCTGGAAGATTGTCAAGCGTATGCCCAAGGGTGCGCTCCTACATGCGCACTTGTCGGCCATGCTGCCGTTTGGAACCATTCTCGAAACCATCCTTGCGACAGAAGGAATGGTCATTTCCACGTCGCAGCCGATTCTGGACGAGCAGAGCGCAGAAAATGCCACGGTCGCTTTTGCGCATGTCAACACGACCATAAACACCTCGGCTGAAACGATCTCCTCGGCCAATTACGTTCCCAACACCCAGGTCTCCGTCCAGATTGCCGCCGACCGGTTCCCCGGTGGCCGACAGGGCTTTCTGGATTTTATGAAGTCCAAGCTGACGATCCTCCCGCAGGAGTCGATCCGCCATGAGCTGGGTGTCGACGAGATCTGGAGGCGATTCCAAGCGTGCTTTGGTCCCGCGGATACCATGGTCAACTATGAGCCGATTGTGAGGACATTCTACCAGAAGCTGTTTGAAGGCTTAGCCGACGATGGCATCAACTGGGTGGAGATCCGCAGTGGTGGCTCCAGCGGTAAATTAGTTCACACCGGCCAGGAGGATGTCGATCCCAATCTCGATGTCTGGTGGGATGTGATGATCGAGGAGATTGAGAAGTTCCAGGCCACCGACAAGGGGAAGAATTTCTGGGGAGCCCGCGTCATCTGGTCCGACACTCGCAGTAAGAACCGGGAGAAGATCACCACGAGTAAGTCTGCATTTCTGAGTATACTGGGGAACTCGGCTGAACTGTGTCAGGTATGAAGATCGCCCTAGAGCGCAAGCAAAGATTTCCTGAGCTGTTCAGCGGCTACGACCTCGTCGCGCAGGAGGATCTGGGTCGTCCGCTGTCAGACCTGGCCCCCGAGCTGATCTGGTTCCGGGAGCAGACTGAGTATCTGAATCTCACAATCCCCTTCTTCTTCCACGCCGGTGAGACACTCGGCGACGGAAACTCGACCGACTACAACTTGGTGGATGCCGTTCTCTTCAATTCCCGCCGCATTGGCCATGGTTTCTCCCTGTACAAGCACCCGACGCTCATCGAGGAGGTGATTGAAAAGGCAGTCATGGTCGAAGTGTGCCCCATCTCCAACGAAGTGCTGCGTCTGGCAACAGATATTCTCCACCATCCTCTCCCTGCGATGATCGCCCATGGTGTGGCCACCGCCATCAGCAACGACGATCCGGCCATGCTCGGGCAGGACATTGCAGGTCTGAGCTATGATTTCTATCAGACCATCCAAGGATTTGATAACATCGGACTCGCTGGACTGGTAGGTCTCCTGTCGAACCCCTGTCACACCCGAGCTAAGCTAACGAACCATAGGGAGCTCTGGCACAGAACAGTCTTCGCTGGTCGAACTTTGAGGACCAGTCCGATGCTGACTGGCTTCGGGACATTGATCTGGCCGCACGTGGTGATGGTATCAAAGCTCAGCGCATTCAATATTGGAATCAGCAGTGGGAGGAGTTTTGCCAATGGATCGTGTCCGAATACGGGGACAAGTACCCGCCTGCCGAGGTTGCCCAGGTTGCCAACTGATCCTCGAGCAATTTGACTTTACAATAATTGTGAATTTAGTGGCAGAAGCTAAACATCGAGTGTGGCAAACACGATCTTAGGTGCAATACTAACTGTGAGCGTTACGATAACCGAGTCGGCTACTGCACCTTAGGTGGCAATTATAGATAGGCCAAGGATATATGAGGTATTCAGAGTCGTGTAGCCGGCACAGTAATATTCATTGCATCGATCTCATCAAGTTCTTGACGGTCTGGGGGTAGGACTTCTCAGAGACGAGCCCAGGGGCTAATCGGGCACAAAGCTATTTATACATATTGATCAATAACATTCAAGAATATTGACAACCCTACCAAACTAATACCGATATGTTTCCTCAATGTCCACCGTCGTCGTAACATCAATGGTCGACAAATGCAGCTCAGAGTCATTCTGCATTTTACTTCGTTTACTGCGCTTCCCGGTGGAACTCAACGTTCCATACGAGTGAGCGCTTTTCTTACGCGGAGTAGCACTATCCTGCGTCCCATGATCACGATCGAACAAACGAAGCAAAGGACGAAGGGACGGCAGACACGCTGTAAAGTTAGCTGCGCGATCTCCCGAACGGAGCAGTCGACTCACCCGACACGACTCCGATATTGGTCTCCACCGCCGTCCACGTCGAGGGACCGATAAATACCCAAGTTACATCGATCGAAGGGACTCGATATGAGTCGAGCATGATCACTAATCTGACGATGGAAATGACGCAGATACTGCATGGTCAGCTAGTGGGACTGAACCCAGGTGAGGAGGAGTGAGACCTACAACCCTCCAAGCACGAAGACACTGCTGATAGCGATTTTCTGGGTGGTGTTCCTGTGGAGTCGCCAGATGTATGGCATAGGCAGGAGAAGCAATGCCCAGTCAGTGATGATGTTAGGGACTGCGTTGCCGATGAAGAATTGGTTGACGTCTACGCCGCAGTGTGGGTTTAAGGATTTATCCCAGAAGCCACGGACCGGTAGACATTGGAAGATCGTCGTGAAGATCTGTTTTTAATTTGTTAGAGAAAGCCAGCCAAACTCATGATGTGATCCGACGTACGACGCCCAACCCCCAGCCGGTTACCAGAAAGAAGATGACGTAGATTGGGATGCGGATGTTGGTGGTGCCGAAGATGCGCCAGTAGAACATCAAGATGGAATATTTGGTCAGACAGATGGACAGCGTATAGAAGATTTCGCAGACGAAGAGGTTGATGAAGAAATTCGAGAAGCCGGTCATCCCTAGGGGATAGATGTGTGTCCCCACCCCTCGATACACCCAAATGACCATGTCGACGTATTCTCCGGTTACCATGGCCTTGTCGCGCCGAGTCAGATATCTTCATGGAGCAGTACTGCCGTGATACTCACCAAAGCAATGCAAATCAAGTAATCATCCCACCACAATCCCACCTTGGACACGCGGGTACGACACAGCAACCGCAGCAACACTGCCACCACGGCCAGTCCATACGTGGAGGAGTATGCCGCATATAGATTGGCACGTTTGGACTCCGAAAGATCCAACCCGGGCGGAGGAGTGAAGTCCATACTGCGAGGGAAGCACCACCTGTGATATAACTCAAGGGAGACAATCTCTCAAGAGGACAGGTACCGGGCCAGATCTTGTAGTAAAATAGCAGGCGGATTAATTGGTCTTCCCATCGGAAGTCCTCGCCGGACTACGATGAGGGGCAGACAAGGATGATCTCGAGCTAAGCAAGGGAAGGATCAGAATCCCTGAAAGGGGAACGAGGTGGCACTCGAGGTGATTTATTCCGCTGATTGCCAAGGTCATAGCTATATATTAAGCGCCTGATTCACCCTGGACGTCATGAGACTGCGTCTATCGTTCACTTTTTTGATCTATACGGCAATAACAATGGCCACTATCGTCTTCGCCCCCGGTGCATGGATCACTCCAGACTTTTATCAGCCTTTCCTCGATGCTCTCAACAAGGCCGGGTATCCTGTCCGCTATGCTGGATATCCCTCTCTGGACCCCGCCGATCCCACGAGCGCAGACTGCAAAGCTGATTCCGATGCCATCGCCAGCATCATCCGTCCGCTAGTGGAAGACGAGGGCCGTGATGTCCTTCTGGTCATGCACTCCTACGCAGGAATGCCTGGAGCCGCGGCCGCCAAAGGACTTGCCAAAACGGAACGAATGCAACAAGGCAAGTCTGGTGGCATCGTAGGAATGGTGTTCATCGCGGCTTTCCTGGTTCCGGAAGGATTAAGTTGTGCGGGATTACAGGGAGGGTATCTCCCCCGTGGATTTTGTTGGACAAGGTATCTACCCCTCTTCCTACTACATGGATCAATCGGAACAGATGAGTAACGTTCTATAAGCCTTACGACAAAGTGAACATCCCCGATGACCCGGCTGGCAACTTTGCCGCTGATTTTGATGAAGACGTGGCCCAAAGTCTCGCGGGTTACATCCGGCCTCATTCCACGTTGGCGTTCAACTCTCCCCAACCGGCTCCAGCTTGGGCAGACCAGGCGTATGCCGGACGACTGGCATTTATTGTTCCTACACTGGACAAGGCTCTTCCCGAGGGAGCTCAGCGTGCCATGATCGCCGCTACTCAGACGGATTGGATCGTTGAGGAGATGGTCTGCAGTCACTGTGCGCCGTTCGTTAATCGGATCGACGAATGTGTAAGACTGCTGCAGGGATTTCTCGGCGTGTTTGAGGGTACGAAGAACTGATAGTTCATCGATAATCCTGTCTTGGACGATCATGAGATGCGAGTAATAACAAAGTTGATCCCTTGGCGATCTCCCGGCATCCATTGCACGTCCTCCTCTTCCATGCCCCATTCCTTGAGATCTACTTCGGTAACTTCTAGCCTCCACTGCGTGTTTGTATCGTGTTGCACCACATCCCACAGTTTGACAAATGACTTGAGATTATGGTAGAACATTATTCCCCAGGGCCGCATATACTCCCGAGCTGTTTTCCTGCCTTGTTGATATCCCGCTAGCATCGTCCCCGGCTTAGACAATGCGACGATCCGCTTCGTCGCCACGACCTGGCCGTCCCAGCTAAACAGATGAAGAAACTGCGAGGCTATCACCACATCTACGTTGCCTTGAAGCTCGGTGAGTCTTTCGTCCGCCATGCTCAGGAAATCTCCCTGAATGAACCTCGCCTTCATCCGGTCCCTGTCACGGAATAATTGATATCCCAACTGCCATAGACCTGGCTCGATGTCCACCGCCCACATCAGGTCCGTGGGAGCGCCATGAGCCGCCAGGAAGCGCAACTCCTGTCCCAGGCCGCATCCCAAATCCAGTATCCTACATTGCGGCCGCCGGGCTTGAGCCAGGATCACGGGGAATTGCGGGAAGGCGGCCAAACCAGGGAGCAGGAAGATCCAGAGGCCGATGCAGGGGTATTTGCCTAAAGGCCAGGCTTTGTTGCGCTAGAACGGTTTAGTATAATGCAGAGCTTGGGTGAAGCGTTTGATTCACATACGATGTCGTGTAAATGGGCAGGGAGGTCCTCGTCAGGAATGGCGCTCCAATGGTTGTAGACATATCGGACGCACGGCCGAAGACGCGGACCGATATGCGGTTGGAACCAGACTGAGCTGTCAATTTGAGACATTGTTATCCTTGTCCATGCTCTGGGCGAGTGGCGTGCTGACGGTTAATAAGAAAGAGTTCTTTTACCTGGCTCGGACATGTCTCACAGTCATCTATTTAGCTTTCCGCTTTTAATATCGGCTCGTCGGCCACACGAGGTGACGGCACACAACTAGTGAGCCCTTTGACAGGGATCAATACTCAATAAATGTAACCTCGTGTCTTCATCTGCTCCAGTCACGAGCATAAGACGTGCAGCTGTTGTTGGATAGCCAATAATGATGAGACGGAATCTATCTATCTATTCCTTATCCACTGCTAGAGACGGGGCCATTCTCCTTCCCTGTCGCCAGCAAATCGTCCATCTTGACCACTTCGCTGCCATACACTTGCTGCATGTAAGCCAGCATCTGTTCCTCCGAGAAATGCAATGCCACCGTACACTTGCTCACCAATGTGGTCCACAGTCCCCGCTGAAACGCCGCTCGCACCGTCGCATCAACACAGACATCCGTGTACAAACCCACCACCAGCAGCTCCTCAAATCCTCGACCATCGATATACTGCGCGAACTCTTCGCTCAGGAACGGATCAAACTTGGCTTTCTTGTCAAACACTCGTTCACCCGCTTGGACGGTAACACTACCAAAGATCTCGGCGCCCCATGTCCCGTGCACACACCACGGCCGTCGCCCCTGCGTCTGATTCCGGTAGCGCCAGCTAGGGCCCTGAAATTGCTCGTCGCCTATGAACCGAACAAAAATCACCTCGATACGAGCCTGTCGGGCCCATTCCACCACTCGCGGGATGTTGGCCGCCACCCGTGTCATGGCCGATTGGTTCTGGTACTGTGTGACAAAATCGTTCTGGAAGTCCACGACCACCACGGCCGTTCGCTTCCCCCGAAACCAGGAGGCGGCCTCGTAGTTGTGCGCGTCCAGTGGCTGATCTAACCCCTGTAGGAAAGCCTCCACAAACCTCTCCGTCGTATCTGTGCCTCCCTGATCAGGCGTCCCAATGCCCCTGGCCCCCAATTCCCCCAACACGCGATCGGCCCTCTGTTTCACACCGGCACAGCCCGCCTGATCCTCCAACAGCGCGGCCGCGGCGCGGATCGTAGCCGTTGGATTGACAACGCCTTTACCGACCAGATCATCCGCTGAACCATGGGCGGTCTGGTACTCGCTCAGGCCCTGCACGTCCGGGTGAAGATAGACATTCTCTGCACATGCGGACTCCTGCGCCCCGAAGCCAAACCTATCGAGCAGGATGGTCTGCATAATGTCCGCGTACTCGTTGCCTGCAATGAGCAGATTATGGCCGCTCACCCCGAAGGCTAGCAGGTCGCGGTTCATGGTGTCGCCCTGTACAAACCGGATCGTAACGCCGAACATTCGTTCCCACTCTGCTGCCCAGGTGTGGAACAGCCCGTCGAAGAGGTGGAACTTGTAGACCATTGTGACCGAGTTGGTTCCTCCCCAGAGCTGACTGGCGCTGGCGAGTGCGTAGGAGAGCATGCGTGTGAAGACCTCCTTGCTGAAGTGCACGGTGCGGGAGACGGCATCCTTGGTGGCGTTGACGCTGTTGGCGCCCGAGTAGAATCCCTGGGCCTGGTCGCGGACGAGGAGGATAGACGAAGCGGGACTTAACGTGAAGTGTTCGACTTTGATAGCTTGGAGCTGCTCGCGGACGAGGTAGAGGGCTTGCGCGCTGATCGAAGTACGGAATATCGCGCGCACGCCGCAGGATACGGCTTCTTTGCAGAACTGATGGTAGTGGGCAGCGTCTGCCAGAGTTTCTTCTGTCACGGCGTCGGTGTCATTGATAGCTAGCAGCGAGGAGTAGGAATTGTAGATGCGTTCGGAACGCAGGAAGGTGACTCTGACATTGTAGGGGGCAGCCAGCGATCGAATAACACGCTCAAAGACGGCTGCCAGCTCGGGGCCAGTGCCGTTGCCCACTGCAAGGCCAACCTGAATAGACGACATGGCGGCAGTGAAGATGGACATTTTTTTTGGTCAGTTTCTCGTCGCTCGATTTATGAGAATCTGGGTGGCAGAGGCCCAACTGGACTAATGCAGCCGGAATACGACGAAGGATCTAGTGTTGGAGGCCCATTTCTTTTCCCCCTTAATTTGTTGGATTTTTATAGTATAATGACAAGCCAGCCATCCGCAAAAGCTTGTCAGACTCTTGTCCCTCTCACCCGTCTCACTATGGAGACCATCTCGTCTGGTTTCCACCTCGCCGACGGCAATGGTTACATGCTCGACAAAGGTTATGCTGCCACCTGTCGCCTGAACCTCCAGTTCTATCTCTGGAAGGACTCGTTGACTTTCAACCTACACCCATCTATCCCCATCCCACACACCCAGCCCTCGTCGCCGCTGAGAATCGCGGACCTCGCCTGCGGCACAGGCATCTGGCTCCTCGACCTCGCCCGTGAACTACCGGAACCAGCTGTCCTCGATGGCTTCGACATTGATCTCTCCAAAGCCCCACCGGGTCAGTGGCTGCCAGACAATGTCACCGTGTACCACTGGGACATCCTCAGTCCCGTTCCGGAACATCTCGTCGGAAGATACGATATCGTCCACCTCCGTCTTTTGATACTGGTGGTAGAGCACAGCGATCCCGTCCCCATTATCCAGAATGCGTACCGCATGCTGAAGCCCGGCGGGTACATCCAGTGGGATGATCTCAACTACCCCGATACACATGTCATCAAGAAAAATGCAGGCACAGACACCCCGGCGTTTGACCGGCTGCTTCATTTTGTTCGCTCAAATGGAAGACATGATTGGGTGCTGGGCTTACCCGGTATCCTGGAACGCAATGGCTTTACAGGTGCCCGGCTGGATCATTTCCGGGATCGCATGGACCTGGCCATGGCGAATGGGGACCAACATCTGATGACCATGGAGGAGTTTGCCGGGTCCTTGCAGCGGAAGGGGATGCTGGAGGAAGCGAGGAATATACATCAATTGATTGCAGATTGCTGTCGAGAGGCGTCTCAAGGAGTGGCGCTGTCCATGCCCAGAGTAGTGTGCGCATCGAGAAAACGCCCATAGCTGTTCAGTATATTGAAATCGATAACGTACCTATATTTATATCATCGCAAATTCAGTACTGACCTTGACTTACTAGCAGCATAATAACGGGGTGGAAATCCCAACTGGAATGATGCTGTGAACTTGTGACATTATGTCGGAGATACCGCGGAGAAATCCATTTGTGTTGCATCATATGTACAAATGTGAGTTGGCAACATCAATATGATGTAAGAAACGGCAGTTCAGAGTGTCGAGGTATAAAATGATGTCCTGTGCAAAGGATGGACTGTGTCGAAGCCATTAAGCATTAACCATTGATCATTAATCGTTAATCAGTCGGTTTGTACGACCTTCCTTTACTCGAACTCTCAACTCTGTCCACATTCCATACAACTACCAACATGTCGCAACCCCCTTCCTTCCAGCGGGATCCCACGCAGGCATCCAACGTCGTCCACCCGTCCGAAGTTTCCGATCAGAACAAAGCGAAAGATACCTCTCAAGCCCCTGCCTTTGGGGCCCCGGAGCCAAAGCAACCGCCCCTGAAACCTCCAAGCCTCACTCGAGCAAGATCCTGAACAAACTGGATCCTCGGTTCGACAGCGACGTGTTGGAACAGCGTGATCAAGGGAATACCGGTCGCACTTGAAGTAGGAGGAAGCATGGTGGAGTATCTATACTGGAGAGAGATCAAATTGAATGTATATATTTGAATGACATGAGCTACATGAATTCAGAACTATAGATCACATTCAAGGCTCGGTGTATGTCGTCATTTTGACTGGAGGGTTGTTCCCCACATGGTTTTGGGTATAAAAGCAGGGGTAACCAAGATTCAACAAGTTGTCCTGGATTTGTATTCATACCTCCTTACTTTAGGATCCTCGATGCCTACTCTTAAACCACTCTTGTTGGCGGGAGGCCACTCATCGCGAATGGGCACTCGCAAAGAACTCTTACGCGTCGTCGGTGATGTCCCCTTGTTCGTCCATCTACTGATCATTCTACGCGAGGCATCTCCCGAGTCGGACGTGGTATTTCTCTCATTGCACGATCACGACTCATTAAAAGCCATTGCGAACGATCGCCATATCACTGCCGTCGCACACAATCAACTGATCCTCAACCGCGGGACTACCACTTTCCCGGTACATGTAGTCTACGACGGTCCCGGAGTCCCCAGCGAACATGACAGCACCGGCGGCATTGGTCCAGCAGCCGGATTGCTGGCTGCTCATCACCAGGATGAAGCTGCTTCTTGGTTGGTAGTTGCCTGTGACTATCCATTCATATCTGTCGCCGCGCTGGCTCAACTTCGGGGCGAATGGACTGCGCCAGTCACCTGTTTCGAGAATAGAGATGGCTTCTGTGAGCCTTTACTGAGCATCTGGTCTCCGGACGCACTGCGCGCACTCAAAGAGAACATTCGAAATGGGATCCTCGGACCCAGTGCGGTGGTGAGGCGTCTGCGTGGCAAGATGATACGACCGCACGAGGAGAGGTGGATCTTTAACGTCAATACGCCAGCCGATTTGGAGGTGGCGTCGTCCCATATGAAAACCAAACCTCAAGTGAGTCCATAGGAGGGAGACAAAGCTGGTCCGCAGAGGAACTCAGTGGCTTGGGTAAATGTCGACAATGTCACCTGCATTCAACTCGCAAACGCCTTGGTGGATATGGATCCAACAATTTGAATGCAGAAACGGCTTGATTTTTCCTGGACTGTGATCCTGTATGAGCTTTACCTGTACATGACCTGACGAGCCGCGGACCAATGCCGGTCGGAAGACGTCCATGTCCCCGCGGAATGTAGATACTACTGGAGGCTCTTTGGTGGTCGAGGATTCCACGTCGTCGGGAGGGAGGAGATATGCATGCGACGGATCGTCTGGTGGCTGCAGCTGTAGGTATTTCAAGTATGGAAGGACCAAGAAGCGCAGACAGGCAGCGCTGGCTACTGGGTTTCCGGGCAATCCAAAGAACGCCGTTGCTCTCCCAAAATGTCCATCAGTGCTCGAGGAGTCGGGAATCCGGGCGAAAAGTACAGGATGGCCTGGCCTCATGGCAACCTTGTGAAACACGACTCGGGCATTCAATCGACGAATTACCTCAGGAATCAAGTCGCATCGGCCGGCGGAAACAGCTCCAGAGGTTATGATTACGTCGTATTCCTTCTTCCTCAGAATCGAACTCAGCGCGTGTTCCAGGGACTCGGCATGATCATGGACGATTCCCAAAAAGTCCACTGAAGCACCCCAACTCTCCAGGGTGGCACTTAGATAAGGTCCATTCGCATCGCTGATCCGATGCAAGGGCGATTGATCAAGCCCAGGAGGCAATAACTCCGAGCCAGTAGACATGACAGCTACCCGAGGCTTGCGTATGACTGCGATTTCGGTGATTCCAACTGATGCCAATGACAAGATGTGGCCCGGATGGACCACTTCTCCCGCGTCGACGAGGATGTCACTTTTCTTAAAGTCGCTTCCTGCAAGCCTTCGATTCTGCCGCGCTTTTGCCGGCTTGAAGACTCGAATATATCGGCGGTTGGACGTTTCGTCCACGGTGACTGCAACATCCTCGTTTCGCACGCAGCAGTCCAATTCATCGCCGGTCACGCTGGCCGGGAAGGGAGCTCCGGTCATGATCTCCACGCAGACAGGCGCCCCGATTGTTCATCCGCGGCAATCAGCAAAGGTTCATCTCCGGCAGCGATCGAGCCTTTGACTTCAAATATCACCGGCTGGTCGATGGTCGCATCCTGCGTCGCAGAGGAGCTCAGTGCATACCCATCCATAGCCGAGGTATCGAACTTTGGGGTCGATATCTGACTAGTTACGGTCTCGCGAGCAATGCGATTCCTTGCCTGGCTTATAGGAACATGATCCCCATCAGCGACAAAGGCGTCGCGATGTCGCTGAGCCTCCGCTTGAATCAGCTGCAGTGCCTCAGGATAATGGATGGCCATGATGACACAGCTCAATCGGTAACTTTTAACCGCCTAATGTAATATCAACATCTTCTGATGGGATCAATGCCCTTTTTTTTAAGATCCTGGTTTGAGGTTTAATGCTTACAAGTCTGCCCAACTCTCTGCTTGACACAATTGTCAACTTGCATACGGCTGGCACTATTCCTGTTCGGTTAGACACCACGAGTAACTGTTCATAAACAGGGATGTTGACTCCACGAGGCCTGTTTTTGAGGCATTTCGTGGATAGCCGCGGAAAAGCCAAGGGCGGATGATGCGGATGGCGTCACTTTGGAGTCATCGCAAACTACCGGCCCTTAAACTCTGTCTCGTCCACCCCCTCGTCGTTGAGCCAATATCAATGCCTTCTGTGTGCACAACTTCCCCAGGGAAAAAGCTTTGGGCCAAACTCTACTCCTCCATTAGGTAAACGATATATCTCGCTGATGCTGCGCGATGGGCCGAAAATGCCGGATCGCTACGTCAGCGGGGTTATAGCAGAGGTCCCTGCGTTGGCTTCATCTTCAGCTTCTCCACACATTGATCAGATATTCCATATGACTCTGGGTAATTAATGGTACAATGGAGAATTGATTTTGTTTTCAAGTCTTGACTGTCATTCGCGTGGGTCATTGGCCTATTAAAGACCATTCCCCGTTATACAGAATCGCCGAGGCTACAATACAATGACGACCAAAGTATACGAGACACGAGACTCGATTGCGAATGTCTATGGACAGCGCACGCCCTACAAGCATGAGTGGCCGACCCGATGCGACGTACGAACGCTGGAGGAGCCGGAGAAATGGGTGCAGAGTGCTTGTGTGCTGTGCAGGTAAGCACCCTTCTCTTACGGCCGACAGTATGTCGTATTGAAAGTCTTCTAGCAACGGCTGTGGCCTAGACATTGGAGTCAAAAATGGCAAAGTCGTCGGTGTGCGCGGGCGCATCACCGACCGGGTGAACAGGGGAAGACTGGGGCCTAAAGGTCTTCATGGGTAAGCCAGCAACCGGGGCCTGACAAAACCACCGGCTAACATCCCCCAGCTGGGAATCAATGAACCATCCGGACCGTCTGAAACATCCCCTGATCCGCCGAAATGGAAAGCTGGAACCTGCATCCTGGGACGAGGCCATGTCCCTAATTGTGGACAAAACGAAAGACATTCAAAAACGTTTAACTAACCATGGCATTGGCTTCTATACCACGGGACAGCTATTCCTGGAGGAATACTACGTCCTTGCCATGATCGGAAAGGCCGGTTTGAATACACTGCATATGTAGGTCGCTTTGACTGTCTCAAGCGCTCTTTTTTTTTGTCCGGAAAATGAGCTGACCACTGAAGGGACGGCAATACTCGCCTCTGTACCGCAACGGCGGCTGCCAGTATGCGCGAGTCGTTTGGCAGCGATGGCCAGCCGGGCTCGTATACAGACATCGACTTCACAAACTGCATCTTGATGGTCGGACACAACATGGCGAACACTCAGACAGTGCTGTGGTCTCGTGTTTTGGACCGCCTGGCCGGACCCGATCCTCCAAAGCTGGTGGTCGTGGATCCTCGAGAATCGGAGACGGCCAGGCACGCGACAGTTCATCTGGCTCCAAAAGGTGGAACCAACGTTGCGCTGCTCAATGGGTTGCAGCATTTGATCTTCAAGAACGGCTGGGTGAATGAGGAGTGGGTGGAACAACATACCGTTGGGCGACAGGAGCTGGAAAAGACCGTGGCCAAGTATACGCCGGAATATGTGGAGCAAATAACCGGTGTTCCTGCCAATATGCTGAAAGAAGCCGCCAAGATCATCGGCACCAGTGGTAGTCTCCTGTCCACTGCGTTACAGGGAGTCTATCAATCAAACCAAGCCACCGCGGCCGCCTGCCAGATCAACAACATCAACCTCTTGCTGGGACACATTGGCAAGCCGGGCAGTGGTATTCTTCAAATGAACGGCCAACCGACGGCACAAAATAATCGTGAGACAGGATGTGATGGTGAATATCCAGGGTTCCGCAATTTCCAGAACGAGAAACACATGAAAGAGATAGCCGACGTGTGGAAGATCGACCTGGTGCACATGCCGCACTGGAACCAGCCCACTCACATTCAAAACATGCTCAACTACATCGAAGATGGTACCATCCAGATGTTCTGGGTGTCTGGCACTAACCCCCTCGTCAGCCTACCCCATCTCTACCGGGTCAGAGACCTTCTCACCAAACCAGAGTTATTCCTAGTGGTGCAAGATATCTTCATGACCGAGACGGCGGCCGTTGCAGATGTCGTTCTCCCTGCCGCACAATGGGGCGAGAAGACGGGATGTTTCACCAACGTCGACCGGACCATGCATTTATCGATGAAGGCTGTAGACCCACCAGGGGAGGCTCGAGCAGACCTTGACATCTGGCTTGACTATGCGAAGCGCATGGAGTTCAAGAACAAGTACGGGGAGCCTTTGATTCCCTTCATCTCGCCCAAAGAAGTGTTTGATGAGTGGAGGAGGATGTCGTTCGGTCGGCCCCTCGACTGCAGCGAACTGACATATGAGAAATTGACCGGTGGATCGGGGATCCAGTGGCCATGCACTAAAGAACATCCGTATGGCAAAGACCGCTTGTTTGACGACGGGAAGTTCTTCACAGATACGGATTACTGTGAGAGTTATGGTCATGATCTGGAGACCGGTACCCCGTACACCAAGACGCAATACCAGGCGATGAACCCTGCTGGCCGGGCCATTCTCAAGTCGGCACATTACAAACCATCGCTGGAGACCCCAGATGAGGACTACCCTCTCCTTCTATCCACTGGTCGAAACGTCTTCCACTTTCATACGCGCACCAAAACCGGGAGAGCGAGGCGCTTGCAGCAAGCTGATCAGGAGCCGATTGTGCAGATCTCGGTGGAAGACGCCAAAGCCCTCCATCTCACTGAAGGGGAGCTGGTGATCGTGCGATCCCGACGAGGGAGTGTTGAGCTCCCAGTAAGAATCGGGGGGATCAACGAAGGACATGTTTTCATTCCTTTTCACTTTGGGTATTGGGACGCTACGGACGGGAGAGCAAGGGCGGCGAACGAGCTTACAATTGGTGGGTACAATGTCGAGAGAAGATAGTCTGGCATGGAATACCGCATGCTAACGAATGCAGAGCAATGGGACCCAGTTTCCAAACAGCCGATGTTCAAGTCCGGTGCCGTCCGCATTGAAAAGTGTGTCCAAAAGGAAGAAGAACGACAAACGATGGCCGTTCGGAGTGTCGAGCAGAAGAAACCCGACGCGGCAAGCAGCGCGCGAGACAATAGCAAGAACAAGAAGCTCATCCGTCGGCTGGAGCTGTGGCTGGGAGCGACTGACCAGGCATTGGAGATGCTGCGCGACATGTACGTAGACATGATCCCTCGTTTGGTCCATGACATGGAGATCCAAGGCGGTCTCCAGGTGATGAGACGCATTACCTGTGAGGTTTTGGACCACTTCAAGCCCATTATCGAGCGATACCACGAGAGCCAACAGTACGGTCGCCGAGTAGCCGAGCGCCTACGAGACAGCATCTTCCCTGCGATTGGTGAATCGAACGATCCGTACGAGGCACTGGCAGCGCTGCAGTCCCTGGACTTGTTCCTGACCTATATCGAAGGACATCTGACCGCTCTCTCTCCTGCGAGTCAGGCACTCTGGGATTGTGATTTCATCGATGCAGTCAATTTTGCCCAGAAGGGCATTCAACGGCAAAAAGGGTGGGTTAGCCAGCATATCAAAGTGAAAGCCCCACAGACGCTGCTGGTCCCGTCGGCGGCTCCCGAGGAATTAAGTGGAGAGGATTCTCGAATGGCCGGGCAGATTCGTTGTTGATGAGCTTGACTAATCAAAAAGCAGTCCGTTGATTTGGCTGGGTATTGAAGGAGCACGACTTTTGAGTTGAGCAAAACAGAGGCCATATTGCTCATTGGACTCAGAGAAAGAATTCTAAAGTCCAGGAAGGACAACTGCCATTGGACATTCCGATACTAGCTGTAGCCACCAGTTTCCTCTGTCTTTTTTTCACATATGGTGATAGTCATCCAGTATTCAAATCGTCGCAGCCGGTCGGTTGCACAGACACCTGAGGCTAAATCAAGGTGAAGGGCAACGAACCAATTTATCATTGCATCGGAATGATTGCTCTCCCCAGCATCGACGAGGCAAGCTGAGACAGGAAGTAAAGCACAAAGAAACGACCTGGCTGTATTGCAGCGAGGATGTAATGTTCCCCGGTTCTGGAGTCCTTAGCCGTTTGCATCCACTCCTTAATGATCGGCAGCAAGGGACGCAACAATAGACTTCGCTTCATCGATATCGTCAAGCTCGTACGGCTTCAATCCGAAACTGATCATGAATTGGGTCCAGCCACCGTAGCTCTTGACGATGGCCCGTTCGGCTGGGGTAAGTGGGGGCTCTAAGTAGGTTAATCGACAGGTTAGCAGACATCCAATCCAGTACGTCAATTGGGCCAAATTACACGTACGGAGAGCGTCCGTGGCGGGCATCTTGACAATTCCGTGTTATCTGTTGGATAGGAGGCAATGAGAATCTGACAACGAGTCCGAAGTGTCTTTGAGCCGAGGAAGGGTGCAGGGAGGGAGCTACGGAGGAATAATATGGAGGAATAGTGGGGAAGCCCGACGGCGGTTCAGGGCGAAAAGTTGCCAGAGAAGTGATTAGTCATGCAGCAAATATTCACTTCATTGGTCGATATCTTGACCGCCCTCAGACCACGTGGGAACGGTGCCTGAGGAGTTGAGGCCCCTTTTTGGAGGAACAAAAAGCATGGCAGCTTTAACCCCTGAGGACCACAAGAGGGAATGAGGGGTGCTGATGGTCCACAACTTTAGATCCATCAAAGATATTTCTCAATAATATGGGGTTGTATATTCATTCTTTATCCACAAGTTGATGGGATGCCTCGTATTGCCAGCTTTGTATTCTGATATCCTACCCCACAATAACACACGGCCGCTATATATTTAGCATGAATCATCCGGCTGAATGCCGTTTGCCAACACTCAGGGTGTTTTGAGATGGCTACAGAAAATTCACTTATCGTCGACAAGCGCTGCGGGTAAAATGTCTGACACTGCCAGAGGCGAAGAAATCCTCGGACAATCGGTTCTGTTGAACAATTCTCCTCACGGGCTGGCCTCGGCGCAATGCACACTAAGGTATCATTGGCTATACCAGGCATAATAGCCTAATTGCCTCAAGCTACCCCAGAGAAATTGCCTGCATCCTAGACAAGGTCATTTCGGTTGTTCCTGCGGGGATGAGTAGCGCGATCTAGAGCCGGAAATTCCAGGCCAGCCCGGGTCAAATGCAGGACGTCGATGGCTTCAGTTACTATCAATTGCCCCTCCCTTCGAAGACATATATAAAGCGCCATGCACGTTCTGTTTGTCCACCCTGGTCACTGCTGTTACCAAGTCCAACCAAAGAGGGTAAATAAGCCTCCCTTTGCGACTCACAATGCGTTTCTCCCTTGCTGCTACCACTCTCCTCGCTGGCCTGGCCACGGCAGCGCCTTCGAGCAACAAGAACAACGTCAATCTCGATAAGATTGCTCGGCGTAATGGCATGCTTTGGTTTGGCACTGCAGCCGATATTCCTGGAACCTCAGCGACAACCGACAAACCTTATCTGAAAATCCTACGACAGCAGTTTGGCGAAGTGACTCCCGCAAACGCATTGAAGGTAAGCCCGAGTGAATGGTACTCTTTATTCGGTATTGGCGCTGACGCGACGATTCTATTGACGTAGTTCATGTACACCGAGCCGGAGCAGAATGTCTTCAACTTCACTCAGGGCGACTACTTCATGGACTTGGCCGACAGTTATGGTCACAGCGTCCGCTGCCATAACCTCGTCTGGGCCAGCCAAGTGTCCGACTGGGTCACCTCCAGGAATTGGACTGCCAAGGAGCTCAAAGGAGTGATGAAGAACCATATCTTCAAGACTGTCCAACATTTTGGCAAGCGCTGCTACGCGTGGGACGTCGTCAATGAAGCTATCAACGGGGATGGTACCTTCTCCTCCAGTGTGTGGTACGACACAATTGGAGAGGAATACTTCTACCTTGCCTTCCAGTATGCCCAGGAAGCTCTTGCTCAGATTCACGCCAACAAGGTCAAGCTTTATTATAACGACTATGGCATTGAGAACCCCGGCCCCAAGACGGATGCTGTTCTCAAGCTAGTCGCCGAGTTGCGCAAGCGCGGAATTCGTATTGACGGAGTCGGTCTTGAGTCCCACTTCATCGTCGGCGAGACTCCTTCCCTGGCCGACCAGCTCGCCACCAAGAAGGCTTACATCGAGGCCGATCTTGAGGTCGCCATCACCGAACTTGACATCCGTTTCTCTCAGGCCCCTTTCTACACCGCCGAGGCCCAAAAGCAGCAGGCGGCGGACTACTATACTAGTGTCGCCAGTTGCAAGCAGGCCGGACCGCGCTGTGTCGGCGTTGTAGTCTGGGACTTTGATGATGCCTACTCATGGATTCCCGGTTTCTTTCCAGGACAGGGTGGTGCCTGTCTATACAATGAGACGCTCGAGGCGAAGCCGGCCTTCTACGCTGCTGCCGAGGCGCTCCAGAACAAGCCTTGCACTGTATGCTAGACACTCATCCTGTGTGAAGGACCACTTACTCGTTGTTGAGCCAGTTTCTAGCTTGTTACTAGCATTTAATAAGAGACAAGATTTAGAGTAAACATTACCAGAGGCGTATGAAGAATCGTCAGCTATACCGAGGGCTTTCTGAATTAGGGGATCCATACTCTTCATCGACCACTGTTTACAAAAAGGCTATTTACCGTATCATATTGGCAATTAGAAACAGTTTTGAGCGTGATAGTCTTGCCTATCTTAAGATGTCTTGAGATAGCACCTCGTTCCTTTACCTCTTTAATTCAATTTTCAGAGACACAGGACGTTATCCGCTCATTCTAATCCGCATCGACTGTAAGTACTCGATCCATTAATTATTTACAATCTCTCGCAATGACTGCTGTGTCCTCAGTTCCACTCGCGTCAAAATGCCAAAATAGACTGCCGTCAGGATAGTAGCCCGTGATGTGAACCGCAGACCCCAGAGGACAGTAGAGAAGATTGCTCTCACCGCTGTCGGGCTCATGCTAGAACAGGTCAGATGGATCCTAACGAATCCCAATCGAGCTTTTGCTCTTCTCATCATGTATTGTTCGTGCAGATTGCCAAGCAAGGTTAGGGACAAAGCTTATCGTGCAGGAGAGGTGACGAGGCTGAACTACTTGCTTTTTGAAGCTTTCTGTAGCCACGTCGCGTAGATTCGCCTTGGATGAGTCTAGGCCTCCTCACGGGACTTCCATCACCATCGTAAAGTACTTTAACCCTCCATCTACATGTATTCAAGAAGTGCAACTCAGAGTAGATGCCATACGGAGTACAACATCTAACGGACCCCTGGTTCTGCAGGGTCCCCAGTTCTGTTATACGAAACTTAATGCAAAGTCCGTCACAGGATCATACTTATCCAAGGGAGTTGAATGTACAGCTATCCGAGAAAGTCGGAGGGCTGATGCCGAATATTTTCACTGAGGTCAGTTGACACTATTCCGAGCCTCGGAGGTATTAAGGTACAGCAGTCTACCGGCCTTCCGTGTGAGACAAATGTGACAAGTTTCTCGGATACGAGAAGGGTCTGAAGAATATCTTAAGGCATCCAATGAGGGAGGAGATACCAACGCCTCCACCAACTGCCGTATCGCTACAGCTTACCGATCCCAGCTGGCTAGGCTGGAATCGGACAGCTGAAGCGAAAGGCGCAGATTCAAGCAATCGGGTCCGAAGCTCAGGTGTGTACTAGGTGCCTAATGGCGCTTTACCGAAGTTCAGCTGGCAGCTCCAAAAGTAGCCCACCACACAGCATTCTGAACACGTCCATTGACTTTCCGAGCTGTTGGTATAATATGAGCTCAAAAGTCAAGCCTCTCCTTAGGGAGACTGAGCTTGTCCGACCAATTTTCTAAGCAGAATCGGATCAGAGTCGAAGGCCATGTCTGACGGCATCCACACCTACACTGGGCCTTGGATCAACTGGTCAGAAGGTGCAATCCAAGGAGCCACATTGACCTTGTCGCAGAAACATGCAGGCGTCCTGAGTGCTTTTCTGGCCATCCTCGTTTCCTTTGCCGGGACCTTGTTTTGGAGTATTCTAAGCTTTCTCATTCATCAAGCCTATACCACGGAGCCGACAAAAGGGCAAGATGCACTGCACGCCCAGCGCCAGATCATCCTTCGCAACAAGACGGCGGCCGGTGCAGCTTGGGCTTTGATCATGCTGCCCTTTGAGAATGGGCGAACGGCATCGCGAGTTAAGACCATTGGACGGTCCCTACCATTGGCGATATTGGCCATTCTCAATATCCTTCTATTCAGTGTGTCTGGTCTGTTTACAAGCTACATCACCAAGACCGCTGGCAAGTCCACAATCATCATCGGCCCAGGTTGTGGGGGGTTCACCTATGACACCTCAGATTCCATCATGAACTCAAAATCATTGCAGGATACCTACGAAGCCGCGACCTATGTCCGTCAATGTTATCAGGGGAGCCCATCGGGGCTCGTGTGCGGGACATACGCCCGCCCAAGCATACCGTTTACCACGAATCAGAACGCGACCTGCCCTTTTGCGTCCGAGCTATGCGCTTACAACGATCGATCGGCATTTGAAATGGACACCGGCCTCCTCGATTCGCAGACAGACTTTGGCATCAACGCGCGGCCGAAAGACCGGATTAAGTTCCGACGGGTGACGACTTGCGCACCAGTCAAACATGGGTCCGGCCTAGGGACAGTCCAGAACGACTCGACGTACGGTGAACTACTCTATATCAATGCTGGATTAAAATATTATATGGGCCAACCGTATACAAACTACACCTTCATATACACCCCCAGCCCACAGGTGGATGGGATAGGGTACACCCTGAGGTGAGTCGTCCAGGATAGGGGAAGAAAACGTGCATTCTAATGAACCAGCACTGTCTTTGCCAAAGGCGACACAACGGGCCTCCTGACGACGACTCGAACATGGGTCCCAGATCCAAGGATCAATCAAACCGACGCCGACATTTCTATGATGATGCTAAATCAGAACGGTGTCATGTACTTGCAACCGAGCTTTGATCCCTGGATCACAGCTGACGTTGAGAATAATCTCAGCGTGGAGAACACGACATACAGTAAGACACTGTGGTCAAAGAGCTATGAGGCGAATCTTCTGGTTTGTGTGGACCAGTATCAAGTATGCAACCCAAGCAGATCTGGTGATTCCGGCTGCACCAAACTTGGTAGCCAGATGAGTACATTCCTGTCTGCTTTTCAGACTGATGGTGCGACTCCAATTCTGGGTTTCAATGTGGCCCAGCTTACAACTGTCGCCCGGTTTCTCTCTGCAAACACTGATCGAAGTATGTCTTCCAACGTGAATGGACGAGGAGGAGCTGCTTTGAACGGTAAGCAAACTATAGAAGATCCTATTTTCTGCCTTCCAAGCTAATGAACCCTCTCCTTGTCCAAGCGTCCATGATGGCCTACATGAATCTGAATGCATACCTTCCACCGAATCAATGGCAAGTCGAGGTCTCAACGTGGTTTGCCACCTCGTTGGCTAAGGAGCAAGCTTGGACCTTCGAATGGGCCACTGAACCAAAGAATCTCCCTGTCACATCGCTGGGTCATGGGTGGAATGTCACTCCCCCTATTAATGAGGCTGCCCGTTCTGCATGCCGGAATCAACTGATAAACAATGCCTCGGGATATGCAAACTTTTCGATTCTTGGGCTGGCTCTCATACTCATTGTCTGCGGCCTCACCGTGATTATTGGGCTCACAGTGGATACCGTAGTGGGCTGGCTGCGACGTGGAAAGACCGTTTACAAGCGGGATCAGTGGGCAGTAGAGGAGACGTTGGCGCTGCATAAGGCAGCGTATACGAACCTAGGGCTTTGGCGCGACAATGGAGAGGAAATGCCACCAAGTTCAATTCTTTTGAGCAACTCAGCCCAGTCTATTCCGCTTGGGGCTGAGGGTGTTGGCACGGGAATAAAGCATGGGTATGCAGTTATTGGGCACGAAGTTCAGTGATACAGGAATCATGTAGGACTCTTGACTCTTCGACGGCCAGATTAGACACTGGATGAGTCCCTTCCAGGAATTCAGCATCACCTAGCGGAGCCGTTCTGCCTGGGTTTCTGGGAGGACGGGCTGTTTGGAAATCATTTCCGATTAGATTTTCCGTCCTAGAAGATAGAGGCCTGTGATCACAAAATAGTACAGTGTCTTGTGCGCCGTCTTGTCCGTCCTCCAGCAATAGACAGATGTCTGGGCAGTTGGAGTCTTTTCTTGGGTGGATGAAGCGTGGCATCTACCATTGCGTCCAACAACTCACCAACACCAGCACCTGTGGTAGCAGAACATTCAAAGTACCCATGGACGCCGCTTTCAGCCACAAGCTGCATGATAATCTGATGCCACAAGGCGTTCTTTCTTCGTGATGGATCCACAGCATCGCCATCCAGCAAATCACTTCGACACCCAACCAGAAATATCGCTGGGTTCTTTCGTGGTTTGCAGCACCTATCAGCAATCTCCATGCCTGCTATCATATCGTTTATCCTATCACTTATAACCTCCTCCAGTGGCGAGTCTTGTGCCATTGTGTCAAGAGGAAAACAGATCAGAGCAATATCAACAAGGCCCTTCATTATACTCAGGTGCGCACAGTTAACAGCACCACGGTCCTGTGCATTTTTTGAATCCTCCCAAAATTCAAAATTCTTGGCATATCTGGGATCATTTGAGATTGTTTCAATCTGATATATTGTATTTTCAAACGGAACAGAAGTAGTGCCGTTGACGCGATCCTCTACTAGCCTAATCAACGCGGATAGAAGACGAGACTTTCCCCCGCAGTCGACCCCGCCGACGACGACTTTCATCCTCTGTGGTGGGATGTCTTGATTTTGTATATTAGGACCTGATCTAGTAAGGAGGGAGCGTCGATGGTGAGTACCTAATGCCATCTTTTTTTCTCGGGTAATGCTGGACCCCAGCGCTGCAATGGCCTCCATGGCTCGTCGACAGTGAGCCGAGCTGGGAAATTGTCTTGCTGAGGAAGCGATCTCAGCTTTTGTGTTTTTTTCGGTCCATCTCGTATCCCGAGACCAACCCATAGGTGGAAAACACGCGACAGTGAAAAGAGCACTGTCATCAAAAAGAGAGGCAATATTATTGCACGATAATATTGTCTCTTCTATGAAGCAGGAATTCATGCAAGGCGAAAGTAGAATCTTTTACTATGAGAGTGAGAGATATGTTATTAAAATATACAGTCAAACTTCAACCGGTTCATATTGGCCTATTCCACCCCGCAAAGCGTGACTGCTTACAACTACAATAAGAAGCGCATCCTCACATCATGTAGACCTGCGTGGATTGTGTGTTGAAAGTGTCAACGATGGGCCAACATGGCGGAAATTGACCAGTTGGAACTCATAAAGAACTTGACGAAGCTTGAGGCCCAATTATCGTCTATCCAATTTCCCGCGTATGGTGGTCTATACCTTCGAGCAGATATAGGCGCCCGGCAATCCCCTTATCAAATGCTCAATGAGAGTATTAATCCGTCACATATGTTTTGTATTGGCCCCTTCTTGTGATCGTTCATTTGACATTGATTGGGACTAGACTGGTTCACAGGCTGGACCCAGCCCATACTAACTAGATTAAGTAGGCAGAGAATATCTTCTTTAGCAGAACTAAACCCAGTGGTAGAGTTGCATTTGGTGTGAGTTTGGGTGAGTTCAATCATAGTTAGACCCAAACCACTGCAATTTCGAGTTCAAATTTTAGAACCCGCAAAACCCGCCGCTAGGCCGATCATAACTAACCATAGTTAGATTCGGGTTTGGTTTCGGGTTGGTTAAACCGCTAATTTTAACTGTTTTAACCCTTACCATTCCACCTGGGGCCCCCTTCAGGGACCCCTCTGACACCCCCTATCAAGCATGCTTATATAAAATTATGATTTTTATATGAAATATATAGTAATTATCACCATACTAATCTAAATCTAAAATATCGATTCAATATCTATAGAGTTGAATGGGTGGTGGTTAAAAAATCATTTCTAAACCATAATGGTTGTCAACCATCAGTCACATATATATATATATCTACGCCACTTTCATACCAACTAATGACAGAGATGATTATTCCCTTATATCACAACAACCACTAGGTATTTTCTAATGATATTAAAAGCATTAGGATATCTATAGAATTCAGTGATTTATAGGTAAAATGGGTTAGGCAGTTTCACCTAACTTAAAAAACCGTAAAAACCATAACCAAACAGTTTAACTGAACCTGAAACAGTTCTGAGGTATAGAAACCAAACCTAAAGTAATTCCCTAGGCTTACCCCCAAACCCGCTTCGAGTTCGGTGAGGTTTGGGTTCGAGTTTTGCGGGTCGGTTATGCCACTCTACCCAGTGGGTTAAGCCACCTAGAACCCGCGGGCTGGGTTGGCAGAACATAAGAACCCAACCCAACCCGCGAAAATAACAACTCTACCCACATGAAGGAGAAAGAGACAACCAGGTAAAACTCCAGGTTTCATTAACAGCATGTGACAAACCTATATACTGATTATGGGCCAAGTGAGACGCGCGACATTATATTAGCAGTATGGAATCACATGAAAGAATTAAAGAAGTGGGCTGCAGAAGCACACGCCACTATAAATAAGCAAACTCAGGACCAAGCTAGCTAGTGGCCTGTGCTAGCCACTTCTGTGCTGTGATACTTATTGTCCTTACGCCGTGAGTGACCATCATGAGTTGTAAGACCAAAAATTTTCGAACGACATCCGCGAATCAAAGCAAGACGAGGGTCTGAGACAGCCAAATTGTATTCTGAACGGCCTAGTATAGAAAAGCTGTACTGACAGTAGCTCAATTAATGTTCCCATCAGCAGTGCAATATCAGTAACCGCCCATTGGTTAGACCTGGTGGATGTATGGTCCCCTTGACTGACAAGTATGATAACCCCTAAGGTCTCCCAGCCTGGAGCGAGTCGCAGTGATCATTTAGCTCGAGAGAGTGTCCGCTCGAGGGTTTGGCTCGGGTTATAGTTGCAATCGAAGTCTGCGAGAACATTCCGCTATCCCTACAGACCAACACCCACCAATGGATCCTAAGAAATGATTTTACATATTCACAGCACAAGCGCAACCCTCAGTCGGGGCCGCCCGGTTCTGGGATGCAGCCACGGGCACTATACATCCTGAAAGAGCGTCGCCCGGGTTATCATTTCCTGTTGTGACCGCACGAGCGGACATCACTTGAACACCTACCGAATTTTCCAGAAACCATATCCATCCGCCTTGACTACAATACAGCCGCCTTCAGCATGCTAGAGATTCGACTTCATCTTATAGAATTCTTGCTGGAGTGGTGTGTTCATAACATGTAGTGGTGCCTAAACGGGTATCAAAATATCCAAAGAGTTGTCAATTCTCACTTAGCTCCAAGATGTTTGCTGAGTTTGAGATCCACTCCACCTCCAAAGTGTTATTCAAGGTATTGCAGTACACTTCCTCTGTAGCTGCAGACACCCATTCTTCTTTACTTACAGCGTTCCACAATGGGGTATTCCTTGGCAATGGAAACTGTAAATCGCGTGCACGAAGCCTCCTGCTTGCCCCTGCTATATCCAAGCTGTTTATACTGCCCTCCTGTTCGCTTACGCTGCTGAATGCCCTGCAAACTTTAAATAGAGCCATGTTGAATCGTTTAACTTCCTCGATGCCTATCCAGACATATGACGGAAGATCATCCTGGCAATACCGATTAAGCATGTTTGGATAGTATAGCATGCCCAGTCTTTTGCAACTTGTAACAAGCCGGTCAAGGAGATCAGCAACATCAGTAGTAAGAGACGGTTTCAAGTTTAGATTAAGCGCCCCACCGCCTTTATATAGCCCGGCGAAAATTATATGGAGCAAGATAGCCTGGTATGTTGGGATAGGCCAGGAACAGGTGCTGCAGGCGTCCTCTGAGGTGGAAGCATCCCATACCTCCTGCAGATTTCCTCTGTCAGTGAAATATGCCTATAACTAGTAAGGGTTTCAGCCACATACTTTCTGCTGATGTATAGCGGAGCTAAGGATACTGTGGATGTCGATTGCTTTTGACTGTGTATCTTGCTCCTTACTCATCCACATACCAATGACAATCATAGACTGGATGAGCAAGGGTGTTTCATTGTTCTCGCGGAACGTACCCTGGTGAATGAATGGCCAGTAAGGGTGAAATAATTTGAAATACTGATCAAGATAGTGTCTTTCCTTTTCAGATCGACTTGTCTTGGACTGGGTTGAATAATCATGCGAAACCGCTAATAGTGTGTCTGACGGGCAACTGAGACAGTCACCTGGCAGTACTTCAGCCTGACGGTTCAGGGAACAGCGTATACCACGGCGCAGGCAGTTGCTACACGGTAGCCCTCCTTGGCATCGAGACTTTTGCTCTCGACAATGAGTACAAGCGCGTTTTGGGAGAGGCGCAGCTCCATGCACATTGTACATATGTCGCCGGAGTGTGTCGCTATAGTGCCAACGTTAGAAGCTTTAATTTCGGCCATATATAGATAAAGAATTACCAATTACCTTCGGCCAAATGCTCGATTACAACTTGAACATTGGAAAAGCTGGGGTCTGTAATGCTGCGTCTCATGGCGATGAAGATGCTCCTTCCGGTGAAAGCTCGCGTCGCACCCCATAAATTGACATCTGAACGCCTTGGCGTGCATTTTCCTTTTAATTTTTAAAGAAAAATATAACAAAAACGTGGTAGGCACTTATAAAATGTAAACATCTGCGGCCACTCTAGAATCATCCCTCAGGATCCATTGCTGGGTGTTGATTTGAAATCATGAGATGTTCCGGCGAGGCGGCAACGATTTTGTTCTCACGCTAACTACAAGTGATCACCTAACAAATCATCCCCACGTGACGATCGTTTCTTAGAGCCTGTGTAAGCAAGGTTGGACGACCTAACCCATTATAGCGCCGCCGCTCCGGTGGGTGACCCACAAGGCAATATAGCTGCAAGGGTCAAAGGGTTTCAAAGGTTCAAGGAACTCAGTTCAATTCGACCCATTAGGTAGCTAGTGCTTGGTAAAAAGAAATCGCTTGAAGAACAGAAAAGCAAGCAGGATACAAAGGAATACAAACACAGCTCAGGGATCAAACCTTTGGGCGAAGGCCCAAGCGGCTTTTAGATAGTGAAGACAGTACGGCCCCTGAATAGCCCCCACATAAGTCGTTAGGTCCATCATAAATTGACACCTAATGAGGAAGTTCTCATAAAGGGACTTCTAAATGCAGATATATGGGGCTTTCCTAGTCGCTCCGAGTTTATACATGGAATGGCACAAATCTTACTTTGTGAACGACTATAAGATCCTGCTGCAATTCTAGAGTTAGCCGGGCCAATTCCTTTACTAAATGCTGTCCTGATCTACTTACGCGAAATAAAAGACAAATGACCTATCATCATGCAAAGCAGGAGGGTCCTAGGGTATGCCCTGGTTCTCAACCGCACAGGCAACTATTCGAGAGCACGGTATACATGAATATCGTATTTAGAATTTCGATGGGACAAGGCTTTGCAACGGGACAGTATCTGTTCCATTTTCTCATATTTCTTCCCCTATTCATTAATGCCGTCCCCCTGGCGCCGATACGGACTTGTAACATCGTGCAGCGTTTGGCGCCGTCACAAGTCATCTGATTATTGTACATAGCGCTGCCCCCTCCTACGCTGGTCCGGAGGACCGTCCCTGCAGAGTATTTGCGTCATTTTTGTTCTCGCAGGGTTGAACGTGTCTATTTCAACTTGGTGACAATTCTCCCGTGGAAGCCGGCATTGGGGCGGTGTTATAAGACGATATCAACACATGGATAAAAGAGCCGTTTTATAAACACAAAAGGGGATGATCGATCTCGTCCACTGGGTGGCGCTTCAAGAAACGTCGCTTGGAGACCTGCTGCCACCACTGTACATTCATATCGGGGGCGAACGCATTAGTCGACATTTAAGGCTGTCTCTCTTGACTATGTTTTATTGTGCGGGAAAGGCGTCGAGCGTTCTCACGCCTCGAGATACATCGCTTGGTAGCGTTGTATTTTTCTACAGTTAATGGGCAGCAGAAAGAGCTTCAAGGACATTTCAGACTCGGTTCTTGAAAGTATTCTTTGACGCCAGGAATGATTCAAACGCGCTATACGCTCATTCTAAGGTTGAACTAGAGGGTATTCGAGACGTTCAACTGATGGAGAGAGCTTGTCCGAATACAGACCATTGAACGTACGTTTGTGGTATTTCGAAATGTCTAGAAGGAATTCAAATGGATGAGAGACAGACCAAATGGAGGAACTGTAAGGAAAATGGAGAGGCATTTTGAACCCTGAAAAGGTTGCCTCATACAGCGTATTGAACCTACGGCCAGTCTCGAACGAGATGCTATCGTACTGCGTTGGCGACATTTAATCCTACCAGCATTATATCACAAATACAGAAGGGGAGCAGCTCGCGAAATGAATTTAATTGCGGAGTAGTCGCAGAAGCGAGTTTCTGCATCTCCAATGGCAAAGCACAAATATTACGGAGCAGGAAGAGCATTAGGTCCTTCGGCTTCCCAGCAGAACAAGATTCTCGACTCCTGGAATACTGTCAATGCACTAAAAGACTATTTTTCAGATCAAATGAACATCCAAAAGATGCTCTTGGAGACACGTGGGATGACGTGATTACGGGGATAGGACCAGGCACCGTTGCAAGGCGCTTCAGGTCAGATTATCTAGAGTGATATGCTACAGGTGCAGAATCCACGAGCAACCGGCCCAGATATTTGCAGAACTAAAGTATTTGAAGTTATTCCAGGGTTCCCTCCTCCTTCTAGATAAAGAAAATGGACGTCTGGAGGTCCGCAAACGCAAGCTAAAACAATATACAAGATCTTGACGATTCGGCATTTGCAAATCTGAACAGTTATGCGGACGTTTCTAGGCATGCTTTGAGAAGAATAATGCCTCTTGACTAAAGCTAGCGTATCCGAGGTGTTGTCTTTGCAGAGTTCCAACGCCCATCGTTCAACCAGCGGTGTAGGTTCTGTCTCGGAGACTTCCATCATAACCGGTTTCTCACACTGTGTATTGTTATCTCACTGTCGCTGGTCTAAGTTTGCCCGCTAAGCTATCCTGCAAGGGATTATATACACTGTGAATCTCGCATTCTTGTAGCCATTATCCTCCCATGTAGATATATACTATTTTCCCGCTTGTACCTCAATAAGGGCCGTGGAGATGTACCGCCTTAAGAAAGTGAAATCTAAAAACGTCGACATATCAAATTACTATTTTTTGAAGCTGGGCGAAGAGTTTGCAACGTAAGCCCCTGCTCTTTCAATATCTCCCAATTGATTAGTATTTATGATGGCGATTTCCCCAGAATGCTAAACGATCCCTGGTGTATCTGCAATGCGGAAAATGTACTTAACAGCACTTGCTTTTCCAGCCTTCAAGTCTTTCAAGGCTTCCTCAACACCTTCTAGGCCGCCCGCTCGAACTTCGAAGGGATGACCGGAGAAACTGCCGTCTTGCAATGCCCTTGTAAAATACCGGGAGAAGATAAAGCCCAGTTCCTCATTATTCTCAAACTCGGGCTGATTGTGGACTGATCCCACAGAAGTGATCGACTTTATCGCAGGTGACACGTCCAGGTCGTTGGGCAGTATGAAATCAATTTGTCCACCCGGGGTGACTGACTGCTGCAAGACCTCTGCACTCTCTGAAATTATAACAGCATCAATTGCATGGTGCACAACAGAATGGCCTGCACGTTCAAGGCTGCTTCTAATTCCCTTGACCGTCGACTCAACTCCTTTACGGTAGTCGACCACTGTATCACCTTTGCTTTTATCGAGGAGGCTCTCGACATACTGAGAACCCCTTCCTGCGATAGCAATGATAGGATGGATGTTACTGTTGCTTGCCATTTTGATAGCATATGAGCCAACAGCGGTGCTTGCACCATAAACGATAAATGGGATCGGTTTTACTGCAGGTGCCCACGGGGGCGGGAAGCGAAGGTGCCCATACAAGGACACAGCAGCAGTCAAGGCGGCGAGTGGGATAGTCGCGGCCTCTATTAGTCCCGGTTAGATACGTACGAATGAATCTGAATACAGCTGTCTTGAACGCACCTTCGAATGAGGTGTGATTGGGCAAATGGAAGGTTGTGTGACTCCATGCAATTGCGTACTCAGCATACGAGCCACCAGGGGTGCACATTTCATGGAACGCTGCGACACGATCACCTGGCTTGACAAAAAGTTAGTTGAGGTTAATCCACTATAAGCCTAGATTGGATGACTAACTTTGAATTCAACCACATTAGATCCGACCTTTTCAACCACTCCCGCAATGTCGTCTCCTTGATTCAGCCCCTTCTTTGCCTCAACCAGGAAGCGAAAATTGGTGCTCCCGGAAGCCGCAAGATCTGGGACCTTCCAATCCTTGGGATTCGACCCAGACACGACCACTTTGATAAGGACTTGGTTGGCGTTTGGTTCAGGGATCGGACTCTCGGCGATTGTCGCCGTAGGCCCTGCAAAATTGATCACCTCTTTCATGGAGACTGGTCCGAATGGTCAGTTCGAGTAGGTTGGAATAATAGGTCTCAGCTCTTTCCCGGTACAGGCAAGGCGGCACAGTATGTTGAATAGTCTATCTTAATATAATCTTGCACGTTTGGATTTGACATGGCGAAAGAAGGAGATTACAAACAATCTGGGTTGCATTGCGAGTTCGTGGCAGGATGGACCCAGTGGTGGGAGATCCGGTGGTGGGAGATCCTGGTGGGAGATCCGGTGGTGGGAGATCCGGTGATGGAAGTCCTGTAACCTCTGGCATTTGAAAACCCCTTCGTGCAGATGATCAGTAACTATCCTAGCTTCAGGTGACAAAAAGACGAATTGATGATGTCAAGTAGAAAGGGGATAGCAAAACTATATTATCCCCCAGAAATCCATTTATCACAGACATTTCTCATAGCTCACATGAACTTTTCCACGATGGTCCTTAACCACATAGAACATTCAGCGGATCCAACCCCAGCCTCATCCGTTCTGGATGCTGACAAGTTGAAGCCTTATATTCCACTTGCTAGCCTTGCCAATGATGGCTGGTCCAGAGACAATGAAGCAACAGCAACCTGTTATTGTGGCACCGTACAAATCGCTTTTGTCAGTCCCTCTTCCCTGAATATAACACCCCTAAAATTACATTAACACTCACCACTAACCCCAAACTCACCTGAAATAATCTTCCTGTCCCACCGACAGCATCCTCACCTAACCATACTAATACAACCCAGCCAACGGTCGGTCCAGGCTTCCTTTATGCTTTTGTATGCAATTGCACCGACTGCCGCAAAATCACTGCTTCGATGTTTGCCTCTAATTTCGTCATAAAAGACGAACATCTCAAACACATCCGCGGCCAGTCCAATCTGAAGACCTTCTCGCAAAACAAGACTATTGCCTCCCATGCCGTCATGACAAACTACTTCTGCAACACATGTGGATCGCTGATGTACCGTGTTGCGGATAGGCTTCCTGGGGCAAGTATCTTAAGATTGGGTACAGTGGATGATTTTAATCTAGTGGAGACGCGGTTGAAACCAACAATAGAGATTTTTGTCAAAGATCGGGTGGGCTGGTTTACGGGGGTGTCTGGGGAGGAGGTAGAGAGGTTTAACGCGAGTCCCGCATGATATCGTGATAGATGAAGATAGGATTGAAGACGCAGCCATTCATGGTTTTGTTTAGGTTTAGAGGTCGTGGGCCTTCCTAGGGTGCCGAGTGTGCAGTGCTAAGGTATCCTTAGCCAGTAGCAAACTATAGTGTTGTTGAGTTGAATGACTCGTGATACCAGAGGCCACATGGAGAGGCTCTGCCAAGATTAGTACTGTTTTCCCCGGGTGAAAACAGGGTAAATACTAAACATTGAAGTGTTGCCGAGATGCTTCCACTTCTAGTGTAAAAATTGTGTCACGTAATGGCGTTAATATGCGTCCATAATGCAGAAGTTCTTAAATATCAAATACCGGTATCACTGCGTGGTCGCAGGTAGTCGAACTCATTAAAACCGCAAGCTTTGGATTTGGGAAGCAACCTCCAAAAACAGATACGAGAGATCTGCAGGTGCCTTGTCTCCTATGACCGTATAGCTCTGTGTCTGATTTTCTAGCGAATCTCAAGTTGATCATCAGTTTTTACATTTGTTTGTTCAGACAAGAATGATTAACAACTTGATGTGGAGAAGCCTCCTCCTGACTACTCAGGAGTAGGCCGATTATTTCCAAGCTCCCTCAGTGTATGTGATGCCATCGACTCCCTTATTCCCCCCAATTTCTGTCAGAGCTACCTTGGCAAGCACGTCAAAATCATAGTGTATCGAGGGTTGGTCTGCAGTCCTTTGCTTTAAGGTGTTAGGCGATACTAATCAGTGCCTCTCGGGCAAGCGGAAGCAACCAGCGGTGTATAAAGCAACCACGATTTCGAAGCCTATAACAAGAAGGATTTGGAAAATGGTAATAAGCTTGATTTATTGCAACTCCCAAAGTCTGATTTTGCTCGATCATGAAGTCCTATACTTCGATTGGTACAACCTTCCCTGTGCTTCTCCCTGCAGCACTCGGAGCTTCCTAGACTCCAACTGTCAGTATCTCCTCGCCCAAGTCACTATTATTGGAGCAGGTGACCAAGCTGAAGAGCTTCCTGGTATCCCGTTTGCCAGACATCCAGTCAAAGACCTCCGCTTCAAACCTCCTGTGCCATTAACCGAGCCTTGGGGGGTATAAAAAGCTGCCAAATATAAGGATGTCTGCCCACAGTTCATCGCCAGTACTACAGACGGAAACTCCCTCCTCCCTAAGTTCCTTGCTTCATTGATCAGCGCGCCGATACTCCAGCAGCGCATTCTTTCGGCGAGCAAGGACTGGCTTTATCTCAATGTTCATCGGCCGGCCGGCACAAAACGTGGAGACAACCTGCCTGTGCTTTTTTACATATGTGGAGGTGGCTTCCAACTTGGCCGGATGTCCATGTAAATTCGAGTTCCAAGCGGCCTTCTTGCATAATCGAAGGTTTTTGTTGTCCCTATGACCTCGTACCTCTAGTAACACTGCTATTTCGCCACCAAAAGGAAACAAATCTAGAGAATAAGGGAGGTATCGATTCATACGTATGACTTCCATCGTTCATCCTAAGGACGATACGATATTCTGTTATTTAAAACTATGGTATCCTAGTAGCGCGTTGTAAGGATTTCTTGACCGGCCCCACCGTTGGAAAGTGGGCATTGGCCTGTATTTCGTACATCCTGAGATGCTTGGTGTGTGTGGCCCTCTGGTGGTCACTTAAGCTTTATCAGCAACCTTCCACGGGGTCCCTTTCAACTCGGTCGAAAAGCTCCCATCTTAACCTTATTTTTCAGCACATTAATCTTGGAACCACAGACGCCAGATAAATCAGCTTGGACTGATTAATGTAGTGATATTTGATTTGTCATGTTAGTTAGCTAACTGGTCATAATTGCTAAGCAACTATTAGGGAAGAGAGAGGTCCTGAGCAAGTATTTATATCAAATGTTCTGGCGCACAAAATGAGGAATGAACTGGATGTCAAGGGCCAACCATAAGTTTATCACAGTACATCAGTCATTTTCAAATACCTTTTATTACCTGGACAGCTTTTACTAGCGCACGTGAAAATGCCTCTTTTCGATTTCAAGACCACTGGGCCTGAAGTAGTCGCCGCATTCTCAGAGCGAGTCTCTGGAAAAACCTGTGAGTGTAAACTTGCCCCGAATGATGTGAAAACCGTACTACAACTGCAACAAGGTTATATTCAATTAATTCAGGCTGACAAGTTTGTAGTTGCGATCACTGGAGCTAGCCGAGGAGGACTGGGAGCGCAAACAGCCCTATGCCTGGCAGCCGCAAAGCCTGAAGAGATTCTGCTACTCGGGCGCTCCGAGGACAAAGTTTCCCCTGTCATACAACGGATTAAAGAAATCAGTCCTTCCACCATTGCACGCTTTATTAAGGTCGACCTTGCATCCTGCGCTTCTGTAAGAGCCGCGGCAACAGAGATCAATTCGTCTGTCTCTAAGATCGATGTTCTTATCAATAACGCGGGTATCATGGGTGTCGGATTTTCCCTGACTCCTGACAATGTGGAAAGCCATCTAGGTGCCAATCATATCGGTCATTTCCTCCTCACAAACCTCCTTGTCCCGAAGCTCGAAGTTTCGAGCGATGGAGCTCGGATCGTGAATGTATCCAGTGCCCTGTACCAGTTAAGCCCCGTGCTATTCGACAATTACAACTTTTCCGGTGGCAAGTCCTACAACTCTTTGGAAGCCTACGGACAGTCGAAGACAGCAAATATATTATTTGCTGTTGCGCTAGCGAAAAAATTGGAGAGAAAGGGCATCAAGTCTTATTCGTTACATCCTGGTGTCATTATGTCGACGGGTCTATCAGCTGGGGTTGACCCAGAAGCATGGTCGATTGTCGAATCTGCGGTAGGAAACAAGAAGATGGAGATGCCAAAGGAAAAGACTATTATGCAAGGCTGTGCAACTATACTTACTGCTGCGCTTGATCCAACCCTTGACGGTAAGCACATTCATCTTAGCTACGGAAACAGTAGACCATGCTCTGACAAGGCTTTCTAGATCTATCCGGCTCATTTCTGGATGACTGCAATCCAAAAAGGCCTTTGCAATATGCCTCTGACCCGTCTAACGCAGAGAAGCTGTGGTCCTTGAGTGAGAAAATCGTCGGGGAAAATTTCTCCTATTGAAATAGTTATCCTAATCTCGCCCTAGCTTTGTGGTTCTTTCAGGAATTTTTATTAAAGAGATGATGAAGAGGATACTACGGGCAGTAAAAGAGCAATGCGAGTAACAAAGGCATCGATCAATAACAGTTCTCCTCTATCCTCTGTTTATTTATCTCTTTACGGAAGAAGGGCCTGGGAGAAGTTAAGTTTTTTGCACTTATATCTTCCCTAGAACGTGCTACATGCTACATGCCCCCTCAAGCACCTAGAATCTAGTAGTGGCAAATCCTTGACGTCCTAGTCGCCACGTGTCTATCTCGTCGAATAATGTATGTTTGTTCCAACAATTTGCTAAATAGTTTTGAGGCCTCCATTCCGGCTTCGTATTTCTAGGAATTTGCTCTGGGTTCAGTACAAAATTGCACTTCAAGACTTATAATTATTAGTAATGATGCTTGCCCAGCCTTTGTGCTCACACTGTGTGCCCTTCATTTTTCCACACTCAATTTTCAAACCAGTGCCTTGGCTGTGGGGCCCAGAAAAAGTGAAAGAGTTCAAACTGGTGAAGCTTGTTTTGCATCAGAGGTCTGGTTATCATAAGGGATTTGACCCCACCGCTCACTTTCACGATCGTATGGCTTGGTCAATGATTTCCATGGCTTGAAACAGTTCATAGTCGTGCTGTTTGGGTGTGACCACCTGGATGCTAAGGGTCGAGTCCAGATATACCCGGCGGTCGACAGGTTTTCCCTGCCCTGTAGCACTCAGTCAGCCATGAGGATCTACAAGATATGCAAGCGATCAGAATGCATACACAGGTCACGGTTTACTTTATCCCAGCTTCCTAGTACGGGAGAATCCATATCATTGCCGCTGTTGAGATCTGATTCCGTGAAATTGCGCACCGGGATTGTCCCAGCTGGATAGTCCAGAAGAACAAAGCTGGCCGTGTAGCCGATGGCATTGAACCGATCAATCTCGGGCACAGGATGAGGGGCGACGGGAGTAATAATCGCATCGATCCGTTTCGTGCAATCGCCATCCACTGTCCACATTCCAAGCAACTCCTTCTCAATATCAGATCTCTGTTCTTGTAATTGGGCCAGCTGCTCCAGAGTCAATGCCTCCCTCTGTTTCATTCTCTTCTGTAGCCACGGGATCAGTGGCTCCGAGGTGCTCTCAAGGAGATCGAGCAGGGCCCGGCCACCGTCGGCGCCCATCAACCGCCCCGCTATCCCTTGACATTTCTTCAAGGCTGGTGACACTGGCACGTCAACTACCCGAACACCAGGGGTCCGACGAAGAGAATCGGCAACTTCGTTCAAGATTCGAGCAACGGGGGGAAGAGGCGTGACTAGACCGTCCGTTCTCAGAACCCCAACTGTAAACTCTCGCTTCCGCCTGTCGGGCCCCAGGGACTCGCCCTCCCAGCGACCGGGGATGCAATCCTCGCCAAACCGCTCTGCTATGGGTACAATCTCTGCCAGGACGGTTCCCAAATCTGCCACCGACCGCGTCAGTGGCCCGGCAACTCCCTGGAGAGAAATCCGGCCAAGACTGGGCCTCTGACCGGTCACCACTCCGCCAAATGGAATCCGGCCGACGCTTGGTTTGAATCCGTACAGGCCGGTGCACATCGCAGGCACGCGGATACTGCCTCCGATATCAGTACCAAACCCGACCATGGATCCGCGCATCGCGACGAGGGCTGCCTCGCCGCCGGAACTCCCGCCCACTGTGAGCTGATGATTGAGCGGGTTCAAGGTGCGGCCGAAGACGTGGTTGTAGCTGTCTGGGGCGGCCATGCCTTGCGATACATTGGTCTTGGCAATGATCACTGCGCCTAATGAGAGAAGCATCTTGACCAACCGCGCATGAACGGTTGAAGGTCTGAAAGCCAGCGCGGTGAGGCCGATGCACGAGTCGACACCCTTGATTTGGAAACAGTCCTTGACGGAGACGGGAAGTCCGTGGAGAGGGCCGACAGGCTTTCCCGTTCGCTGGAGAACGCTGTCCAGGTGTTGGGCCCGTTGGATGGCGCTTGGAAATAGGGGCTCGGTCAAGCAGCGTGTAACTTGGTGAGCAATGGCCGATCGCTAACGCCATGGACATACATACACACATATTTAGCGACATCCATGTTGACCGGGGCAACCAACCTTGGAAAAGGCCCTCACGACGTCCTCTGCGCTAAACGTTCCCTGGCGCATCTGGGTCAAAAGTCCCCGGACGTCCCAATTCTCGGTGATGCTGAGCTCCTTTTGGGTCAACAGGCCTGACCTTTTTGGAATATCCATCACATTCCCTCTCGGGTATGCTTGGCTATGAGTTGCGGGTATTGGCGGAGAAAGCATGCCGGCGGGAATCAGGTGAGCTGGGAGTCTCCATTCGGTGGGGATGCCAGACTCCAGTTGCGCTTGTTTGCGCCGTGCAATCTCCAGATATGCTGGCTCCGGCATTGAGTCATGTTTGTCACTTGTGTGCATGATTAATGAGTAGGTGGGGAGAGAAGGGGGCCGGCGCTATTATATAGAGGTGTGCGCCGTCAAACCACTAGACCAAAAATGTGTTTAGGCAGCCGATTCTAGCCAGTAGAGTACTAGAAATGATAGGCATATTCTGATTGGCAAAAGATGTGATAAATCATAGGATACTACTAACGATGCGCGGGTATATAAAAGAACCAGGCTCGCAATAATTCTTGCTGTTAAACATTAAACATCATTCTGATTGTGCATCGTGCATGGACCTGAATCTTAGGAAGAATAAACACTCCATTATTTATTCTACCGCTGCTCGAGGCTAATTGGCTGTAAATCACTGCTGTTCTTGGTGATTTTCTCCACAATTGACTGGTTTAAATGGGGAATGGGTTTGTCTTTCTGGACCCTGAGGCCTCGGGTGATGCGAGCGATCATGGAATAGAACCCCAAGACGATGAACACCTCGACGATCTCATCGTCGGTCATCAGAGTCTTTGCCCAAGCAATCGTTTCTTCCGTGTTGGTCCAGGTGGCCACCGACTCGTCCACCAGAGTGATGATACACTGCTGTCGCTCGGTCCAAATGCCCATGGCGAACAGCTCTTCCGATTTCAACCCCTTCCGCAGTGCTTCGATCCTCTCGTCGCCCATGCCGTGCACACGCGACACGGGCTCATTGATGCCAAACAGGTATTCAGCACCCACGGTGCCAGCCATGCGGAGAACAACGAGCTGGTAGTCTAGAATCTGGATCGTGCGTGTCTTGCCGTCCAACAGCGCATTGAGGGTGTCCAGGATCGGTGGGAAGAGACCGGGGGACCGTGCAAACAAGCGAAAGACATTGCGATCAATTGGGAATGCCCTCAGTAACGCTGCATTCCCTTCATGCGCGGCATCCGGGTTATAGATATCGATTCCCTGGACCAGAGGGTGGGAGGTTGGGGACTGACTCGCCGGCGCGGATTGCGTTTCTTGAGTCATCATGTAAAGCACTGGCGGTATTCAGTGCTCGAGAGGACAGGAACTGATGATTCTGATGTAGTCAGTCACTCGGATCGGGACTCTGTCGTTTACAGTTGGTGGTCGTATCATACTGGGCGAGATGGCTTGAAACGAGACAAGTATATAACCGGAACAGTGGTCTGAATGGCGTTCCGGAGTAACATCCGTGAACATTCCTTGGCCGTAGATCGTCTGTTTCTCCAAGCATGAAGCCTGACTCTGGTTGGCTGCTCGTCCTGCATGACTTGACTTTAGTGTCGGCGGCAACGCTAATCCTCGCGCAGTTGATTTAGACGTCTCGCTCTTCGCGTCTGCGCGGCAACGCTAATGGCCTCCCCTGTCAGTGTTAGATGAGTGTTTTTAATAATAATAATTCTAAAGGCAGGTCAATGAGCCCAGAGTGATTAATCATGCTGACAAATGGGCTCAACCGTGGTGATCGCTCAGCTGGCGAGGAATTTGCCCTACCGCCCATCTTAAGATCCAATATTCCAAGGGCCCCTTCACGAATCCAGTCGACATCAATATAGACAAAAGTGCTATCCTGGTCGTTTTGGACCGTTCCTGTTCGGCATTTGATCTTTTGTTCTCGGATGCCTAAACAGAACCTGTCTTCTATGTCGGATACAATGGCGGCGGCCGACAAGCCTGCAAGCCTTGCGAGCAAGGACAGCAACCTCTCTCCCACAGAGCGTGAGCTTTCGGAAAAGGCAATCTCGACGGACTCGGATCCTGAAGCACAGAGCGGAGGAGACTCTGTGCCAGAAGATTCCAAGTCTCCCCCTCGAGAGATCACCGGTTGGAAATGGTTCCTTGTCGTGTTGTCCATTTACAGTTCGCAGTTCCTCTTCGCCCTCGACAACACCATTGTCGCAAACGTGCAACCCGTCATTGTGGGCCATTTCAACTCGGTCGAAAAGCTCCCATGGATCAGTGTCGCCTTCCTGATTGGCGCGGCCGGGACCAATTTGATCTGGGGCAAAGTCTTTGCGCAATTCAACGCAAAATGGACTTATATCCTGTCGGTTTTTGTCTTTGAAGTCGGATCCGCCGTCTGCGGCGCTGCGCCCAACATGAACGCCTTGATCATTGGCCGCGCGATTTGTGGCGTTTCGGGATCGGGCATGTACGTCGGACTCATGACCCTGCTGGCGGCCACAACCACCATCCAGGAGCGACCTCTCTACGTTGGTGGAGGAGGTTTCATCTGGGGTGTCGGCACTGTCCTGGGCCCTATCATCGGCGGAGCGTTTACCGACTCGTCTGCCGGCTGGCGGTGGGCGTTCTACATCAACCTGTGCGTCGGCGCGGTCTGTGCCCCAGTCTACCTCTTCCTGCTTCCCAATAAGGACCCCCGTCCCGGCGTCAGTCTGCGTGAGCGCGCCAACACCATGGACCATATTGGCGGTATCCTCACCATCGGCGCCATGGTGACGGGTGTCATGGCCGTCTCGTTTGGTGGTGTGATGTATCCCTGGAACTCGGGCCGGATCATCGGGCTCTTCTGTTGCTCTGCGGTACTCTTCATCCTGCTCGGCCTGCAGCAAGTCTTCACTATCTACACTAACGTCGCCCACCGTGTGCTTCCTGTCGAGTTCTTCAAGAGTCGGACCGTGTTGATTCTGTTCGCCGCAACCGCCGCCGGTGGGACCGCCATTTTCGTCCCCGTCTACATGGCCCCGCTGTATTTCCAGTTCACCCGCGGCGACTCGACCCTGGAGTCCGGCGTCCGGTTGCTGCCGTTCATTATCCTGATGATTGTGGCCGTCATGGCCAACGGCGCACTCCTCTCCAAATTTGGGATGTACATGCCGTGGTACCTTGTCGGAGGTATCCTGGTGGTCATCGGGGGCGCCCTGATGTACACCGTCGGCCTCACCACATCGGTGGCACATGTGTACGGCTACACCATCCTCATTGGTGTTGGCGTGGGTTTCTTTGCCCAAGCATCATTCTCCGTCGCGCAAGCCACCGTGGCCCCGGAGCTAATTCCCTCTGCCGTCGGTTTTATTTCGCTGGCCCAGATTACGGGCATCACTCTGGCCCTCGCCATCGCCAACGCAGTGTTTTTCAACGAAAGTGTGAGGTCCTTGAAGACCATTTTACCTGGAGTGGATCCCGAGCGAATTAAGGATACGATTTCAGGCACCCAGTCGGAGTTTTTCCAGAGTCTCCTACCAGGCGTCCGCGAGCAGGTGCTGGAAGCCATAGTGGACGCCCTCAGCAAGTCTTATATCCTGGTCATGACTGCTGGTGCGTTGGTGGCTGTGCTGAGCCTTCTCATGAAGCGCGAGAAGCTATTCCTTGCTCCTTCCGGGGGATCCTGATTTGGACGAATGACACGAATCTCTACTGTCCATCAGATACGATCACAGGGTGTTGCAAACGGGGCGGCCCACCCCCATCCGGCTCTGCTTTTTATTAGAGAAAAATTGCGCGCCTCTTGTTTCTTTTCGCTGCCCATAGTTTCACCTTCCTGTGTGTGTCGAACAGGGACTGTAAACACGTTGTTAGGCATGCAAAATCCATGATCCTACACGGATTCCTTGATGCGATTTATTCTAGATCAGACTGAAACGACATGAATGAGAATTCTCAGATACATATAATTGGTATTCAGCATAAAACCCTTCACCTAGCACCAAAGGTTACGAGCACTGTATAACCAGCAAGTAAAGAGAGTAGGACCCTTGTGAAAGAAAGCTATGCCACGGCATGTGACCACGAGTACAAACGTAGATTCAGTGCCAAGGGGCCCCAGAGAGAGTCGATACTATGCTACTTTTTTGGGCTCAATGTTTGACAAAGATGCTCAGCGGGGTGTGCTATGAATGGCCCGTTTGAACTGGCCTGTTGTCCCAGAACCATCATGGCCGTTGTCCTTTATCGCTATTGATGGATCATGAAGGGGCATGTGGTTGTTTCACCTGCACCTTCAGAACCGGTCAATGGCCGGGGCCCTTCCAGCAGAGACGAGGGCCAACGTAAAACTCCACCCATGTTTCGATGCCGCTCTGTAGAATTCCACGAGTCAGGGAGAACGTAGAGAGCGGCCAATGCCGGCGACATACAGTAGGCAGCATGTAATAGTCAATACCTGAAGAATCTCGGGAATACGAGCGCCTTTCATCGGCCGCCAAGGGGTTGCAGTGCTGCCGAGCGGTGCGGGCATGCATGACTCTCTTGCCAGAAGAGAGCAGTGCGCCTTGCTGCCGCCCCCACGCCGCGCGCAGTTGCACGATGTTTAGTCCTGCCGCCAGAAACTAGGTCTCCATGTGGCAATCCCTTTCCCATGCCCATGGCGCACTGTGGCCCGGCGCACCGCTGTAGGTTGCGACATGGGTCTTGTTCATTTCAGACTTTGCCGAACCCTGCCGAGCCAATCAAGTACAACATAGACTGTAAAGAGATGACTTTAAGGCCTGGGTTTTACCTGGCCCTGACAGTCAAACGTGAATAGGCTGTGCTTCATACGTGCCTTCGGCCGGAGATCATTCAACCTGATTCAATATGGCCCCATACATCGATACGCAAGATGACTCCCCCTCGTCGGTAGACGCCTTTTCACACATCCAGCCTACCAAGGATACCAATGTTGCATCCCAGTACTGGGAAGAGCTCTTTCGCGGCGTCGGACCACAACCGCGGTTGGCATGCGTGCCTCTGGACCACCAATGGCCTCGTGCGGAAACGACAGTACTGGCCTCCGACGGCCTGCTGGAGGCAGCCATGACGTTCAGCCGTACACACAATATCAGCCTAGAGGACTTGATATACGCCGTATGGGCTATCGTTTCTGCCAGGCAAACAGTTAGCGGCCAATCCACGGTCCTGTTTACCGTTGCTGGCCGCAAACAACCCAGCGCCAAACAAGATACTGCAGAGAATGGAGGAGCCGAACAGGACTACCCCTGGTTCTATCCGTACCTGAGGATGTGGATGTTCTCTCGTGGGTTCGTCATGTGGGCACCGCTGCAGTCACAGCTTCTGCCCTGTCATACATTGGATACGATAGAATTATGGAGATAGCCTCGGGAATGTGCCCCCAAGTGAAAGTGTCAGTCACTTTCGAGGATGACAGCCACGACACAATGGCTCCAGATGATGACTTCCCCTTGGTATTCAACATCATTGCATCGGCCAGCCTGAAACTCAGCATGCGGCACAACGCTACCGTCCCAAGGGGGGATGTTCGAGCTCTACTGGATCGCTTTGCAGTAACACTACAACGGGTGACAGGGAACCATGACGCCAAAGCCTCGTCAGTCGATATTATGCCTCCAGCTGAAAGACAGCTGCTGCTCGACTATGGCAAAGCTCCTCACAAGCCGAAAAGCGGTATGGTCCATTCTCTGATCGAGGAACAAGCAAAAGCGAGGCCGGATGCAGCTGCCGTACAGTTTGAAACAGAACCCCCACTCACGTACTCTGCCCTGAACAAACGCTCAAACCAACTGGCCCGCCAGATCCGCCAATATGGCGCCAAATATATTGCCGTGCACCAGCGCATGTCTACGGACTTCATCGTGACACTTTTGGCTATTCTAAAATCTGGGGCAGCATACGTGATCTTAGATCCCGACGCTCCCGCTGCCCGGAAATCATTCATCCTCGAGGACCTCCAACCGGGCCTGGTCATTGTCGATCACAGTACCGCAGGTGAGCTGGACAAGGAGGTCCAGATTGGAGACCTGCTGTCTCAGTCGTCCAGCCATGATACCGGTGATCTCCTGCATGTCCAGGACCCAAGCAGCGTTGCATACGTGATTTACACCTCTGGGTCGACGGGGAAACCGAAACCGGTACTGCTAGACCACCAAGCTGCCTTTAACGGGCTGTTGGCCTTTCCGCCAGTTGCGAGCCTTCGCCAGTTGCTCTTCTTTAACCCAGCCTTTTCGGCGGCCCAGAGATCCATTTGGGCCACTCTCAGTGTCGGTGGATGCTTGTGTCTCGCCAGCAAAGAAAATCTTACCGTCCAC